AGGCCTCCTCTGTGCAGAGGGTATCAGGGCGTAGTCCACCACGCAACCCCACTGCGGATTGGCGGACTTCACATATTTTCGAAATTTTGTTTTTGTTATTATTTCGAAAATATGCAGGTTTCCTCACGGTATTTTCCTTCACCGCGGGGCTCGTGATAATTCAGCACTTAAAATTAACAATTTCATTGGTGCTGGCACCGGGGATCGAACTCAGGTTGCTCGAGTACATTGAATTAAAGGCGAGCGCACGGACACTGAGCTATCACGGCTCAGTGTCCGGGAAGTGAGGTAGCCGGAGCCCAATTTATTATGAGGTGACAAAGTATCTGCACCCCTAAGAATGTTTTAAAATGTCAATGGGCGGCGGTTAACACTTAACATCAGGTGAACCCGCCGCTTTCTTTTCACCTTCTCACATAATAAAAATGAATATTAAGCTTAAACAGACAAAATCTAAATGTTTACATACCGAAATTCTTTCAAATGCATATTCAAAACACTCCTTTGCTATTTCCGCCGCAATAAATATGATCGGCTCTTTGATCTAGGACTCGTTGCATACTTGTTCAAATGTCTTCTTAGCCTTTATTCACAAATTAATAGAAACGAGTCTACTATCAATAATTTCTACGATAATATTGGTATTACTGATCTTTGTTGATAGCAGAACTGTGACTGCGCACGGTATAAAACTACCGAAAATCTAGTTGTCTAAAGTCATTGAAACCGTAAAAAAAGCTATTGATAAATGTATCTTGTGGCGCTAGAGTAGTTTTTAGTAGAGATTTTATTCATATTTTAAATCCTGCCAAAGATTCGCCGGATGTGAGGAGTATTTAAGGCTCTAATGAAAATAAATCTGCATTTAAGCGCGATTGCATATCATTAAATTTTTTTTAAATTTCGTGAGACTTTATTAACGTATGGCATGAAATGTGCGGAATGCCATTAAATAAAACGCAGGAATGTGCTCATTGTTAATTGTATTGATCAGAAGGATTTTTAGATAATTTCACAATCTTTTCACCATTAGAACTATATAATCGTTATAAACAAGTTGACAGCAGTGTTCCGAGCGGCGAGCGTGGAGGCAGAGGGAACTCCCCGGTCGCCGACCAATCAGAGGCAACTCGGTTGCAAAGCGCGAGTCGCGCGCTATTGCGCGCTAATGTTAAAATAGACGCGGCGGTTGTTTTAATCCGCCACAAACGAAATAAGTAATTAGTAGTAGAGGTCTTTCATCAGGGTGCGTGGACTCTCGCACCCGGTCCCTTATTTCGATTGCTTATCCTTTATAAAATAAGGGAGCGACAGGTGTGCAATGCTAGTGTGGAATATAACGGAAAAGGACATCTGAACTAGAATTGCAACTACTGAACTGAAATTCCAATCCCAAAACCAATCCCAAAACATAAAAAAAAAAAAACGAAAGAGTAATGGGAAACCATAATATGAGCAAGAGATTTACGAGCCAATATGAAAGTGCATACATGAATCACTAACACCCACCAACCATTTGCTTTCGTAGTACGCTCATGATTTGTCCCTTTTTTAATAACATGACTTAGGTACATAAAATTGAGGCTTATTTGAAGGATCAAATTTATGAATGTATTAAATTGTCTTAAATCAAATCTTGTTAATTTGTATAATTAATAAGATTTGTACAATGAGGTTTATCGTTTTAATCATTATGTGAGTTCGGCATCCGTTTTTGCGTGAAAATCACGAGTTGAATATTGCATATCTTCGTATCTTCAAGTACTGAGTGCGATAACATTAAATCCTCGTCAGTCTACAAAAGTAAAGTTGTCAAATCTTTCATACGGAATACGCCCAAAGTAATTGTTTCGAACAAACGCGAGAGGATCGAGATTAAAATATAGCTCTGTTTTAGCAAATTTGCTAATTATAATAAGAGATGTTTATAAATGTATATACAAAAAAAACTTTAACAACTTTAAAAACTTTAACTATCAATGCTCGAAACCCTGTCTAATGTACCAATATCTATTTTTATGAATGATATTAATAAAATATGCGATAATGACCGACGTAGAACTGCAGTAAGATGAAATATTTTATAACGTTGTCCATTCACTTTTTATAGCATAACTTCGTATCTCTTAAACCTTATATCAGTACTTAGTTGAACTATTACTCATTCAGTTACATACAGCAACCATAAATTACAAGGAAAGGTCAGTTGTGGATCTTTAAGTTTTAGACATTTTTATCTTAAGTACTGTTACCGTTCTGAAAAACTTTCACAGAAGTAAAAAATAAATCTTTCACCAATTTAATAAGATATAAAATGTTGTCATATACCACTATATCGTATTTTAGTGTTATATAGAGATAACATTGAGCATAATAACACAATTTTAAAAAGCACACTTATAGTCCATTGAAAAGTTATTTGTCAGAGTTAAATTCAGAGCATGCAATTATATTTTTAGAGTGCTCAAAATAGACTCTTACCTTTGCATTTCCAAAAAATATGACATTTCAATGGACTATTAATTAATAACATTTTGAATATATCAAAATATTTTTAGATATATTCAAAATATGTTTAGCATTGTGAATGAACGTAGAATTAGATTGTGGATGTAGCGATTTAATCAATGGAACGATATGCTTATCTGATATAGGTATGATTTGTGTTAATTTTCCTGTTGCACTCTTTACGTGATTGATCAGGTTTTAGAGTATTTTAAGATTTTTTTTATAATTTTACCCCAATGATATTATATACAAACACGATATGACGTAGATATGACACTAGCGCACTTCGGAGCGCTAACTGAGGCAATCAAATTACGCCAATTGGTGTAGTTTAATTGCATTTCTTATAGAATTCTATCTCTTTCCGTATCATACGTTTTAATTATATTATCTGTCTCATTCACTAATGTACGTCATATAATGTAAAGCGGAACAATTTTTAATAGCCGCGCAGTGTGGACATGTATCATCTTTATTAAAATATCATAGTTTAACCCCATAACAACTTTCCGCAATAAATGATTCAAGGTTTATGGTTTTTATGCGACTACGTTTATTAAAAAAAATATTTTGACATATAATAATTCACGAAGAGCATCACAAAATATAGAATTTAAATTAAATTATCCGTATTAAAATTAAAAAGACATACCTGAGACGGTATAAGAATTCGTAAATCACCTACTTTTTTATATAAAAAAAACTTTGTTTTGTTTTAATGTGTTTGAAATTCTTCTGAAATATGTTTTTCCTTATTAAAATTTAATATACAGTGTATCATAGAAACTAACAGGCAGAGCGACAAGATAAATGTATGAGTCTCTCGACGGATTTCAAGTGGCTTGCTTAGATATCGATAGTTCTCAATGCCATTATTTGTCAGTACTTTTTGACACATAATAGCATACCGAGAATTTATAGATTACAATTCATTTTCAATAAGGTAAAATTTTTATCAAGTCATCCACACGTTTGGTTACTGTGATAAAAATTCTTAATTATTTCAATGTTATTAATTAAATAAAATAGTTAACATAATCAACGTCTGGACTACTAATAATTCAAATCAACTACTAAACTGTGTCAGTTTATAATGAACGCGTTTAGGCATTGTTCCTGGTAATGAAAGGGGCGTATTGATAAGCTTAGGACAGTTTAACTTTGGTGGTAAATACAGAAAATTTCGAACCAAACCATTAGGCGACCGTTCGGATCGAAAATATCTGAAAGTAGTGTCCGAAGGGAGCGAAAATATTCCGGACACACCGAGGGTCTTCCCTGACAACATAATACACAAACATTCAGCACGCACAACCAAATGGTTCGTCCTCACCTGTTAGTACGACGAAACCAATACAATATGTACTAGGTACACCCGCGTCCCAGGGCAGTGCTCACCGTCGTCGTAGCAAACGATTTATACAGTTAGCGATCATGGTTGACGGCCATGGTGACATTCCTCTCCATGTTAACCCACACATCAATGCTGTTATATACAAATAAGGAGTAGATATGACTCTAGCGAGACTGACGCCCGGTTTCTGAAACACTGATCATCGTAGAAAGGAACTCAAGTTACGCCAATTGGTGTAATTAAATTGTAAATCTATAGACTGCTATCTCTTTGCGTACTTTCATCATTTAAAAGAGTTTGAATCCAGGTTTTAACATACGTCAAAATAGATCGTACATGTTGACTTTTGTTAAAATAACCTACTGATGCATAATCAAAGAGCCTTTCAAGGCTTAAAGAGAGATTACAAGGTTTATTGATTATATCAGTCGCTAAGCTTATATGGTATTAATTATGCTTTTGAATTAAATTTTGAAGTAAGAATTTCATTACTTAGTAACCTAAGGTGCTAAGCGGGATGTTTTAAGAACATATTTCGCCAAAAAACTAAAATAAAAAGTAAACGAGTCGAGTGAATTTTTGTTCTACCCTTTCAGTTTTGATAAGAATTTTTCGTAGCAGACATTAAAACAGGCGTCAGTTATAGCTATTTTTAAATTAAATAAATAAATAAATATATTTATTTCACTTACGTTAACTAGTATTATACATATTACGTACACAATTGGTGCGTTCAACTTGTCGGGCAATTCCTGGACGCAAACTACACAGAAACTACAAATATTTTTACATTCTTTAGAAATAAGTTCGATCATTTATGAACTTGGTGAGCTTTTACTATGAAATCATTAATTGACTCCTCATGGTTTAACATCTGTTATGGAAAGAACCACGCTTCGATTATATAATCGAATGCGAGTCGCAACAGCGGCGCAGATAATTCGATGACTCGGGTTAAACCAAAAGCGTCGATAAGCTATTGATGGACAATATCTCCTTTGAGGCTGTATCACGCTATCTCAAGGCGTTATCTTGCACTCCCGAGATACTGTGACCTCGATAAAATTGAGCAGTTGCGACCCATCGTCTTATTTTTGTATCAGATCGCGGCAGCAACACCACGGTGGTAGCGGTCAACATGAACAGTGAGTACTACACGCTTTCTAGGCGAACTTTCGGGAAAAATTTTCACGCCTATGAGTGATTTAATTACGTTTAGAACAATTTTCTACATATATCGTAAAATAGGTAGGTAGTGTAAGGGTATCAATGGATAATGGAGGCGTTGACTGGCTTTCTGGTCTCGCCGGTGCAAAGTCGTCGGTCGGCCAAACACAATTTTTTCAGATTTTTTACTTGCAAAACTGACAGCTTAACATAAACGATCTATGTAGGACCACAAACACAACATTTTTTGCATTTGTAGGACTAAATAAGCTTCGTTGAGTTAGTAAAAGCTTGTGTAATTCTGCATGCGTAATTTTAATAATAATTAGTTATAAAGTCTTTTTCATAAATATAAATGTAATTAGCTTTATACAGTGAACGTACAGTTGCTGCCATAGTGAATTACTTTTCTTTCCATTATGTATTATTTGCTCTTAGCTAAAACTTTTTTGCGTCTTAAATCTGCATTTAAGGATTTTTATAATTTTTAGATTTCTCATTTCATTTTATGCCATCCGTAGACGTAGTCGTAAGTAAAACTGCGAAAACAAAATAATAAAATTGCTCCCAATAGAAATTGAAATACTCGATTTGTCAATCCTTTATTTATCTTATTTCTAAATTCTAATCTTTTTTTATTCTGCTTAAGTCCGTAGAACAGCACTAATGATTACATCCTTTTTCGAGAACAATGTTATCTTAAGTCTTCTTGTCACTATTTCTCAACTGTCTACGTATCTGCATCCATCATGATAAATATTATCAATGAAATAATATTCAATATACACCACAGAATTATTTATTATGAAGTTTATTATATAACATCATTTTTAAATATTATAGTACGACGCCCATTGGCATTTTCGACTCCCCTAGGGTTGCAGATACGTTGACACCCTTTAATGCAGTGGACCCTGCTACCTCACTCACCAGACGAAACGAGGAATTAGTCTAACACTTCGCCTTAACGCCAGTCTTCTGTGTGGTCGTGTTACTTACGCGGACGGACCTGCCCATTCGTGCGACAGCGAAAACTGTTGCACGAATGGGCGACGTGTTTTGTAGTAGTTAAATAAATTACGATATAATACTATAATAACTATGAAGATGGAGATACTAACAAGAACGTTACGATCATACTATTGCTGCTGTATCTTTTGAGAAGTGATGATTATAGCGTAATAGAATAAAAACTTATTTATTGAACTTTTGTCTGCAGCGGTCACTTTTGTGCTGTGTTGCGCGGTGGCGCTGAGCGGCGCCTCCGCCCTCTCAATCAAATTGAGACAAAATCCGGAGACACTGTGCCTCGGCCAAGAGAACTTCCTACGCATTGCTAGCGTTGATAGTTGCCATGACTACTATCAGTGCTATGCGGGTCGCTCCTACCTCATGCAATGCCCAACCGACACCTGGTTTAACGAAGAGGAGCAGGTAAGGTGGAAGTTTGTTGATGTCATCTGAAATGTGTGATTTGTAGTTGAATTCTATTAAATGTATACTATAGTGTGAAACACTGGTTCATGAACACAGACTTTGTAGTCGAATGGCATAGAAGGATGTTGGAGCTAACTTATAATTAATTATTTACAGGTTTGCGACCGGTCAGAACCACCGGCAAACTGTAGAACTGAAAGTGAACCTGAACCAGAACCCGAAGCTGAGCCGGAACCTGAACCGGAACCGGAACCAGAACCTGAACCGGAACCAGAACCAGAGCCAGAATCGGAACCAGAACCAGAACCAGAACCAGAGTCTGAAACTGAAGTAGAATCAGAACCGGAAACAGAACCAGAGGCAGAACTGGAGCCCCTCCCTGAAGAGCTTGTTGAAGAATCTCAGGAAGAGGAAGAACAAGATGAGGAAGACACATTTGAAGAAGGTGAGGAATCAGACGACGAGGACGAAGATGATGCTCGCATCAATAGTCAACACGATCATGGACATCACCATGACCATGACCACGGACATCACCATGACCATGATCACGAACATGAGCATGACCATGATCATGGGCATCACCATGACCATGATCACGAACATGAGCATGACCATGACCATGATCACGAACATGAGCATGACCATGATCATGATCACGAACATGAGCATGACCATGATCATGGGCATCACCATGACCATGATCACGAACATGAGCATGGTGACGAATCTGAGAACAGTGACGAAGAAGGCTCGGGGGAAGATTTCGAAACCGTTCAGGATGACTCCCTTATGAAGTTTGTTAAAGCATACAGGCTATACAAACTTCAAGAAATAGAGGATTCTGAAGAGGGTCAAGAAATTGAGGAACTTGAAAGGTATTACGTTCGTCCGCCGCGTCCATTTCATAGCTTCTATCCCTATGGTCACCACTCACAACCATCTCACCCAACGGAACATATTCCCGAAGAATCTAAAATAAAACAAGAAGAGACAGATGTCGAGGAGGAAGATGAAGAAGAGGAACAAAAGTTATTTATTCATATTGGGAGATCCTTATTAGTTGACGATGTAGAAAAAGGTTTGTCAAAGCAAGAAGAAGTTGAAAGTATCAACGATGAGGACGGTGATGAAGATAAAAATGATAATATAATTTTAAGGTTACGTAGAATGATCTCGAAGCAAAATGAAGACGAAGATGAGGACGAAGAAGAAGAGGAAGAAACAAAAAGGCAGGAAGAATTAGAAAACGTTGATGACGAAGACGTTGATGACGAAGACGAGAATGAAGATAGTGAAAAAAGAAAAAAGCAAGAGGAACTCGACGAAGATAGTGGTGAAGACAGCGAGGAAGACGAAGAAAAGAAACGAAGGCAAGAGGAAATTGACGAAGAAGATGATGACGATGAGGAAGATGAAGATTTAAAGAGGAAAATACAAGAAGAAATAGATGATACCGATGATGATGATGATAATGATGACAATGAGGATGAAGAAAAGAAGAAAAAGCAGGAGGAAATAGAGGACGACGAGGAAGATGAGGAAGGTGAAGAAAAGACAAGACAAGAAGATGTAGAAAATGATGATGGAGATAACGAGGATGAGGATGAGGAGGATGATGATAATAAACAGATAAAAAGGCGTTTACGAAGATCCTTAAAGCTACAAAGTGAAGACGAGAATGAATCGGATGAAGAAGATGATGACGATCAAGAGGAAGAGCAATCAAGAGAACAAGTCGAAGATACGGATGAAGATGGGGAGGAAGTCGAGGAAGATGGTGAAAACGAAGAAGAGACCGAAGATAGGAAAAACCTTAAGAACGGACAACAGGGATTAAAATCAAGACAAAATGAAGATGAAGACGATGCGGAGGAAGAATTGGAGGAAGATGTGTCTAGACAAGAAGAACAAGATGAAGGTGAGGAAGACGGTGATGAAGAAGAAGAACGCAAATTAAGACAAGACATAAACGAAGATGATGACGACGAAAATGACGAAGAAGAGCAAAAAAATATTTCACGTCAAGAAAATGTTGAAGATGATGATCAAGAAGAAGAAAATGAGGAAGAGGAAAGTATGAATGGAGTTAAACGATTTTTCAGGCGACTTTTCGGAAATGTAAAATAATAGATAATATCGTTTTTTTATTTTAAATACTGGATATGCGTCCCGTAGGAGTGGTAGTTTTAAATGAGAGTAGTAAATTAGGATATTTATTTCTTGCAAAACTAATATATTATTTATTATTAAGTTTCAGTAGGATTTATGCAGAACCACTTTGTGCAATTTTGTAAATATGAGTGTCTAATAAAAATACACAAGTAAATTTCTTTTTTACTTAACATACACATGGTATGGTTTTCACAGATATGTATAGCAAAAACAAAATCGAACATTATTGTCAAAAGTTTTGGTTGGAAATAAGGTTTTTCTTTTGCTTGTAGTTCTATTATTTTTAAAATAATGAGTTCGAACCATTAAAATAAATGAACATTTTTTTATTAAATTTATAGATACTCCTTTTAATCGACATTTTACGCTTAGGAGAGCATTGCTCTATTAAGTATTTTTATTGCGGCAAACGAGCAGGAGGCTCACCTGATGGTTAGTGATCACCGCCCATGGATCAGCAGCAACACCAGAGAGCTTACAAATGCCTTGCCGGCCTTTTAGGTAAGAGTATGCTCTCTTCTTGAAGGTTCCCAGGTCGTAACGGTTCAGAAAGACCGCCGGCGGCATCTGGTTCGACAGAGTGGTTGTGCGAGGCAGGAAGTGGCTTGTAAATCGCGCTGTTGTGGAACACACCCCATAATAAATGCGGTAGAAGATGCAGAGTGATCCAACATCTCTCCGCAGAGCCAAAGGATCAAGCTGATCGGAAAGACTGATCGTCGACAACCCTAGCGGCCCTACGTTAAATGCGGTCAAATGGAAGAAGCTGGCAACAGTGGGCTCCCGCCCAGAGATGAGAACAGTACTCCATGTGGGGCCGAAATTGCGCCTTAGAAAGGTCAACACACTGAAGCTTCTTTGAGGCCAGTATGACCTTACCTTCCAATTGACCGCGGAACTGGACATTGCTCGAGATTTCGATTTCCGATAATGTTCTATGGCAGACAGGGGAGTGTTCTCAAAATGAGGAGTTCGACAAATGGAAACTTATTACTCGGACTTCTTATAACCTCTTTTCTTTTATTTGTTCCGTAAGACGTGTAATAGAGCCATCGACGCCTTCTATACTGTTATTTTAAGTACAAAATAAGCAATCATACAAAACGTCGAAAATCTGGCGGCCTTTACCGAGAAATTGATATGAAAAGAAGGTTGATATATACTTGCCAAGACAACTAACATTAGACAACATCTCAACCATAAATGATACATATTTAATTAAAGTTTTAGTTATATTCTGAAAGTTCCCCACACCACGCAGTGGACATGTTACAGTTTATAAAAAAGTGCGACAATGAATTAGCAATGAAAGTACAGTACATTTCGTACTTTATTTTTCTATATTATATAGTACAAATGGCTAAAATATAGTACGACACCATACAACATTATAGTACGGGTGGCAACTTTAGTTGGCACCATATATTTTAGAGAAATTTGAACCATTTGCCCAAAAATCGTATTGAACTAGTAATTATTTCCTCATTTGAAGGATTTAAAGCGAAATAGCATTTTAGAAGAATTTTATTTTATGTGAGAGTGTGGCAAGTGGCCTGGCGGTTTACCTGATGTTAAGTGGTAACCAGAGAGAATGTTTCACTACGTTTACGTTTGGTGGTAAACGGCGCCCATGGACATCAAAGAGAATGTAATCACTACATTTGATGGACATCTGCATCATCCTATTTCAGACGTCTGTTGCCACCTTTTAATGAAGTGGACCCCGGTTACCTCGCTCGCAGACGAAACGCAGAAGTGTAACAATTGCACTTTACGCCGGTCTTCTGCGAGGTTTTGGTACTTTCCGTGGTACTTCCCCGGCCATTTGGGCAACAAAAAAAAACTGATGCGTCGCCCTACCACAGTTGAAAATAGAATGTAGAAAATGTTTATATGAACATTAATTTAAAATGATAAAGGTCACAAAAAAGACACAATCAAATTTTAGCAATTTATTACATCATTATTATTATACAAAATAAATCTCAAATACAATAATAATTATAAGTAACACAACCAAAGCAAAACATTAAACATTGGATTGGAGAGATACGTTATGTCACGGTAGGCCCGTATAAGTCCGGCCGTAAATGCATAAAATATAGGTTATTTCAAATGTTAACTAATTACGTTAACTTAGGTATGACTTGATAGTTAATACGTTAATCTCTACTCATTGGCAGTAAGTTAACCTCTTAAAGATACTGGCAACATATGACCGCGAACCAGTTGCAGCTAATAAAGTGGCAATAGAAAACTCCAAGTAAGCTTTACAAAAGTACGAATACGAATAATTATAAAAGTAATGATATAAAACCGTAGACGGTAACGACGGCAATTGAAAAAATCCATAAGCCATTTTGGTTCTTCATTAACGCTTCACAAATAAATGTAAGCATTAGGTATTAACAATTACACTAAGACCAAATAACATCTGCACCGTATCTACTGCATTTTTTTAATAAAAAGACATTATGTAAAGTCAAATGTATCATTTTATTAATAATTTTAATAATCGGTATATTACTATTGTAAAGTCAAAAAACTTTCGTGGTCAATTTAGGAATCTGAAGTCATTTAAACGATTTGAAATCCACAATGTGTTTAGTAGTCATAAAACTTTTATTGTGTTCTATACTATCAAAATGGCTACCTTCATAACAATAGGACATAGTTTTCCGAATACCTGGCTTTTTAATTTACGCTGAGTACACACGCCAATTAACAAATGTTCAAAGCACTTTTCTTAATTTATCAATAAAGTAATCAAAGTTAAGAGTATTCGAAGTTACGTATCAAACAAACGGTTCTTGTACTGCGCGAATAATAAATAGCAACGGTTATCATTCCATTTTAATTTTAACAAAAACCAAAGATTTACATTGGATAATTTAAGACCAACAAAAACATTCGTAAATTACGTGCACAGAAATTACAATACGTGTCGAGATTTACATTTGTGTAACAACAGAGAATATTTTCTATAGACTTCATTAATATAAATCGCATTTGATAGTGACTACAAAAAAGGGTCTTACCAAAAGAACCTCGGGGATCAGAAAACCATGTCCGTCGATAAACCACTTATTGGCATTCGTTTCTAAACGTGAAGCTTGACCTACGTCCGCAATGGTCCACCCAACGCACAGTATAAAAAGTAGCTAATGAGTAGTTAGGATATGTGATGTGTTAGAATACGGGGCCCCGTTGCGCTCGGGATTTATTCGAACGCCCACAACAAAAACGGCCCGTAACGCGACCGCCGTAAGGCATACAATCGCCTGCACCGGGCGCGATATCACAAGGATTTGCGTAAACGCAAGGCGCGATCTTCATAAACGCCCGAACGCCGCTGGCCACAATAAAGCCTACCCTAAAGCGTATATAACAGTAGAAGTAATTTGTATACTTAGAGACGTACAAACAACAATCATACATTGACCAGATTAAGTTAACCCTAGCGCATTCCGCACTGCCGTTGTCTTGTAGTCTTGTAGATTTCTTTCGCTTCGTAGAAATCGCCGCGACATTAGACGGCACGTGGCGGAATGACAAAATATCACCGTTGATTTCCCATATAGTCCTAATCCCGGATTCGCGTCGCGTCACCGTAAAAAAAACCTCAGTAGAGACGAGGAAAACATCTATGTTACAAATTAATATGAAAGATGGAAGGAAGTTATAAAAAAAGGCTACAGAAAACGAGAAACTAGACTTTCAAAAAATATGTGTATACATATATCAATAATAAATAAATAAACAACAAAACGACTATATACAAAGCGAGTGCGCGACATACGGGACCAAAAGGAAGAAAATCTCTGCTATCGCTCGCAATTCCTTCCAAATCCGTGTTGCATGCTTCATAAAAATCCACCTATCAATAATTCTACACAGCGGTTACATGAAAATATCACGTGAACGAATACATTGTTTGCATTACCGTTACATTAGTGGTACAAAAGACGACTGTGTCGCGTTCGCTATAAAATTTCAAAGCGTGCCCTTAAACGCTAAAGTATCAAATCCATTACGGTATTGTTTCGGTAGAAAAGTACGAAATGAGTGTGGATTGTACAAAACGATCTATCGCCTATCGCCCGCCTGCTGTGCGTTTATGCAGCGGCCGCTATGGGGAGGGGCGCGAATCTGGTGCGGTTAAACTCGACGGGTATGAGGCCCTGGGGTCAAAACAGGCCCACGTCCTTCTTCAGGTTGGTCTGTTTCCAGGCCGGCAGCGCAGCGAAATCCTCTTTGGTCATGCCGAAAGCCTCCTGCGGAAATGAGCTTCACTGTAATAACTTTGCATAAATAACTTTGTAAAAATAACTTTGTATAAATAACTTTTTTTAAATAACTTTGTATACATTTATATACAACTCGCTATATAACAACCCTTCCCTGTACAACTGTGCAGATAAGAAGAACGTATTAATTTTTATACATTTTTTTACATAAATACCATTTCCAAGCATTGCCCCTTTAAGAATATTTTTTTATAAGAACATAATCATAATATATTTTGCGTTCTGGTAAAAATAAGCGACGCATTGAAAGTATTGCGTTATAAATTACAGAAACGTATTATAGTACGTATAATAGTAAACATTTTTAAATACAGAAAATAAATGCCTTACAGTCATAATAGTCAAGTTTCCTTTACATAGTGAAATTCATACTGTAATTAATATTAAACATAAAGAAGGAATAATTAACAATACCTGGGTTGCACGTGGTATTAGCATTGGAATATTACCTGAGTGGGAAATCTTAAATATCCCAAAATGGGGTCGGAGCACTATTTTCAAAGAAAATTCTGAATTCGACCCAATACCCCAAGGATACCACGAAAATGGTAGAACCATGTGCTGCCGACGGTACTGAAGGTGCCACGGTTCAGCTCAGCAACTACAGCGCTGCGCTCTATGTTGCAATCGTGCTTACCGTGAAATCCTTTAGGTGGTTACTAACGAACAGACAGCGGCTGTAGTCCTGCAAACTGGGCACACACTAGACATACCATGAAATCGGCGACACTTAGCCTAGCTGGTGGACGGGATGGTGCACCTGCATTTGGGCAGGCAGCAGCTGCAGCGCTTTAAACTAATCATGCGGACCTACCGTGAAACCGAACGGCGCCGAGAGCATCATTTAGCCCTGCAGCACTGAACATGCAACGCTAAGGGCGTAGGCCGATACCATTCGAATCTGGCAGCGGCTGCAGCGCTGCGAACATCATGCACCGCAAGTACCGTGAAACTGAACGGGGCCGAGGGCACATTCATTTAGTCTCGTTGCACTGAACGTTGTATGTGTTAAGGCGTGGTCGGGCTCTTCGCATCAGGAAGCGTCTGCACCGCTTTAAAATCATGCACCGAACGTACATACCTTGAAATTGGGCGTGGCCGGGTACCTTTATTTATGCCTGGTTCCGATATTCAACGAATGGCCGTTAGTTACATAGCTTCGTAACTTTCATAACGACTTGTAGATAAAAGGCGTATACGACCGGTTCCTATATTAACAAAACGAGCCGTTTTCCTTACGACCCATTGCATTACCTAAGAAAAGTGAGTTACTAGCGTTCATTTAATATAAAAGTCGTTATGAAAGTTAAGCTATGTAACTAAAGCCCGTTCGTTGAATATAGGAACCGGGCATTAGTCGTGCAGCACTGGTCACTACACGCAATCGGGCCTAGTGAGATTATTTGCACCAGGAAACGGCTGCAGCGCTGTAAAAATCATGCACCGAACGTACCGTGAAACTAGGCGTGGCCGCAGTACTGAACACTCCACGCAATCGGATCTGGTCGTACTATATATATCATGAAGCGGTTGCAGCGCTGCAAAAATCCGAACCGAACGCACCGCGAAACTGGGCGCCGCCGCGCAGCACTTTCCGTTCGACGCGTGCGTGCCGTTCGCACCGTTCAGCGGCCGCGGCGCTGCGTGCAGCACGTACCGTGAAATCGGGCGAGGCCAGGTGGCGCTCGAGGTGGTGCGGGTCCACGTGGTCGGGCAGCGGGCGGCGCTGCAGCGCTGCGAGGGGCAAAAGCGCGTCGCAGCTCGCCAGCCGCGAGAGCTCGCAGCGGCCCGACATCGCCTCGCCCGCCTTGTACCCGTGCTGAAAACCAGTGCCGCCGTTCACGTGCGTATACGTACAGTGCGAGAGTGTGCGTTGCAGTTATTGTATAGGTGTGAGATAGCAATAAGTGATTCGGTTTTGCCTGAAAGCGAAACGGTTATTACGCCCAGTACTAGAATGCCGCAGACCATTTGATATGTACACAGTATTAGCACACCTTGTAATATTATAACTGTATAAAGTACATTGAAATAATAATATCGCGTGTCATTAAGAGTTTTAATCATATTACAGTATAAAAGGTTGTTCTATCGATGCCACGTACATGTTCAAGGTTTGCAATTTCTAAATGTGAATTTTTGTACATAAATGGACGACAGAATTTTTTTGTCATTTATCCACAAAAAATGTTACATTTAGCGTGTCATCTGGAATGTAGAAACTAGCACTAAAAATAAAAAATACATATTATAAATACAATTCAAACTAAAACATATTATTAATGTTAAATGTGCCTTATTAAAAATATAATAACCTGTTAGAAAATATTTAGTATAATAAACAAAAATATGCATTTTAATGGTTATTTTGTTTTAATATTAAATTACTTATTATACTGAAACAAACAATCAAGGCAGTCGATTAGATGCAAATATGTTATATAGTTCGAAGAGGCGAGGCGAATACCAATTATATTTATAAAATAATGAGTTATACATGAATAATCCTACAAAACTCCCAAGATATCATTTATCAACAATCGTACCATCACCAAAAATTTTTTTACAACAGCCGGGATGGCTAACAACAGAATGAAGGTGAAACAACAATTCAATAAATTACAATTCAAAACACAATACGATGACACATCCCAACATTGAGACTGAGACTAATCACTCGACTGTGGTCCGAATGACTCAAAAGTAAATCCTCCGAGTCAAACAGTCATACGGTAGCCAGTGAAAGTGTCACCAGAGGTCAAGGCTCACCCAAGGTCAAGGGTCATCTTAGGTCAAAGGTCATCTAAGGTCAAGGTTCAAGTCTCACCGCGATGTTGGCCTCGGCGGCCTGGTCGTGCTCGTGCCAGGTGTCGAAGAGGTGCGCGAAGGCGGCCGGCTCCAACCCGGCGGCCACCACGCGCACGTCGCCCCGCCCCGCCGCCGCGCAGTACGCCTCCGCCGTGCGCAGGGCTGCCACGCGCAGCGCCTGCCAGCGCGCCGCGAACGCGCCCACGCCTGTGTGCCGCTCAGAGTCAGTACGCGTCGACAGCCCTATCTTTTAGGGCTACCGCGCGCGGTGCATACGCAAGCACAGCCCTACCATTATCTATTCCCAGGCCTGCCGCACGCGGTAAATAGGGAATTTTTGCCTGTTTGCAGACTATTAGGACCCTCTTTTTCTCAGGAACAGAAAATATATCGAATAAATCAAAAGATACATAACATAATTTGATACTTGCAAAATCCCTTATCAAATCAAATAGGGCACATCTCGTAGACACGAATCATAAAATTTGGCAATAAGCAGACTTATGCAAATAATGCAACACGTAATAATAAATTTCTGTCGAATAGCGTAAATACTTTTTCACGAAACTAAATTCAATAAAAGATTATCCTATTAAGTGGTTGACTTAAGCTTAATATCGTTCAAGTGTAGGTTTCGTTGAAATTCACGAGATCGATGTGCACAAGCTGTTTTACACGGGTACGCTTGTCGTTCCCTCAGCTAAGAAACTAAATTATACAATGTAAAAATGTTTGACATTTACCAGCATTGATCTCTGCCGGCTCCAGTTCGCCATCTTCACCCCGCGGCCACCAGCCCTGCCACAGCCACACCGCCTGCCCATCGTCCACCAGGAACAACGCTGCAACGAATATAACGAATATAACGAGAAACGATGTAACACACAGCATCGCAAAACACCGTAAAACGATGACGTGGGTACAGCACATGAGCAATTTTTGTTATAAAAAGTAAAATAAAGTAACAGCCTATACATGTCCCACGGCTGGGCAAAGGCGAGGAGGCCTTTATACAGAGGGTATTAGGACATAGTCCACCACGCGGCCCCACTGCGGATTGGCGGACTTCACATATCTTCGAAATATATATTTTTTTGTTATTATTTAGAAAATATGCAGGTTTCCTCACGCTGTTTTCCTTCACCGCGGAGCACGTGATAAGTCAGCACTTAAAGTTAAAAACTTCATTGGTGCCGGCACCGGGGATCGAACTCAGGTTGCTCGAGTATATTGAATTAAAGGCCCGGACACTGAGCTATCACGGCTCTTATTTTTTTTGTTATATAATTTTTGTTATATCATCGTCAAAGTATAAAATTGTGCAATATAAATTTAATAAAAATATTAAAACTAAACGTTCATGGTATACACACGTAATTTTATTTTGAAATTCTCACATCATCAACCACTGCAATAAAATTATTGTTGCGATTACATGGTCTTAGCGCAAAGTCTACTACTGTATGATACAAAATTGATCAATCTTCAATAGCCGCTCGAATATCATCAAGAAGAATAATTGAGTTGAAAATTCGATAGAGGATTGACGTCAGACCAGTCGCAATAAATGTACCCAAAACCACTTATAACATACATTGTGCCTCATTTTGTGCCGACTCCACCAAGAATACGTGTACGCATTATAATAACCAAAGATATTACATACAAATACGAGTTAGATATGACACTAGCGCGCCGAAACTGAGGCAATTTACGTGAATTGGTGTAATCAGATTCAATTGTATGGAGTGCTATCTCTTTCCGTAACATATCATCTGTCGCCTTCACTTGTATATGTAATATAACGTAAAACAGAACAATTTTCGAAAGTCGCGCAGTTTGGATACGCGCCATCTTTATTAAAACACTAGCTTTTTGTCCGCGGCTTCGCCCGCGTTGACCTCCTTAAATATCTTTCAACCCCTTACAACACTTTTTTCCAATTAAAACAATAGCCTATGGCCTTTCTCAGGCTCTAAACTATCTGTGTACCAAATTTCATTTAATCGATTTCATTTAAATTTTATTTACGGTGGTAGAGCCACGCAGCAGCCTCGGCTGTTGCACGAATGGGCAGGCTCGTCCGGGTATGTACCACGACCTCACAGAAGACCGGCGTAAAGTGAAAGTATAATACTTTCGCGTTGTTTCGTCTGGTGAGTGCGGTGGCCGGAACCCAATTTTCAAAAGGTTGTCAACGCATCTAAAACCCTCGGGTGTAGCAGATTTCCATGGGCGGGGAAAAAAAATAATCGGTTCAGTAGTTTTTGAGCGAAAGCGGTACAGACAGAGTTACTTTCGCATTTATAACATTAGTATGGAAGTATGGATCATGAAACTCACCGGGCTGCGATGCGGAATACAGCTCCCTCTGCTCGAAGGGGAACGGCGTGACAAGTTGTTCGTGTCGCAGCGGCGATAGCACCTCGTTCGCCTCGAACTGCCCGCCGAGGTCCGTGAAGTGGAACAGCCGCAGCGTGGTGTCGCCGCTCGCGTCGCGCGCGCACAGCACCGAGTTGTAGTACTGCTTGTTCGCCACGCCGAGCGCGTCCAGCACCTCCTTCGGCTCCTCCCCCTCCTTTACCTGGGGTTTTTTTTATATATCAGCAGGAGGCAAACGAGCTGGCGGTTCACCCGATGCTAAGTGACAACCGCTGCCCATTGACATTTGCAACGCCCGTATGATGCGTGATCATCTTTGAACGGCCCCGTGGCGCGGCGTCGGGGTTCGTGGGTTCAATTCCCACGCGGGACAGCTATTTGTGTCACCCACAAATAGTTGTTTCGCAACTGAGTGTTTGTCCGCGTGAAATTTGTGTTTGTAAAATGTCCTCACAATACAGGATAACGTCCTAAAGTAAGGACAAGGTAAAAAAAAAAATTAAGTGCGGTCCAGCGTAAAACTTCCACTTCACCCGCTCCTCTTTGAGGTCATGGCACTTCCCCGGACGGACCTGCCCGTTCGCGCAACAGCGAACCGTTGCGTTAAGCTGCATCACCCTAGCACAGTTGAACGCCTACCTCCGTTATCCTCACTTCGGCCGCCCTCCCGCCGAAGAGCTGTGCGGACGCGCGCGCCACCAGCTTGTTGGCGAGCTCGATCGCGACGCCCTTCGTGTGCTTCAGGCTCCGGCTGCCGTGCCAGATGTACAGGTGCGCGTTCTCCGTGTCGACGAGCAGCAGCGAGCCGCGGCTGCGCAGTTGCCTGACGGAGCACGGCACTTGCAGCAGGTACGCTTCGTTCGGAACGTTGCCACGGGTCACGAACAGCTTGAAGCGTCCGCCGTGGGTCCCCTTCTTACCCTGGTGGATCACCAGGTCGCCGTTGAAGAGGTTGAGGAAGGCGGGCGGCTCCGCCCCCTGGGCGACCCTCACCTGGGGCCCCCTCTCCCTGTCCAGCTCCACCGTGAGGAGCGCCGCGGCGCCCTTCTCGTTGGAGGACGCGTCCCTCCCCTGCCAGCAGAAGTACGCGCAGCGGTCCCTGCCGGTCAAATTGTGTTTGGACGGTTTCCCGTTCAACTCGCGACCGGTGACCGTGATCTGGTACTCCCATCGGATGATGTAGCTGTCGCCCGAGTAGAAATCGCCTACGTCCGATGCGTTCTCCACCTTCTGGTAGTCGTACTCCTGTATCACCCACTTGCAGACGGATTTCGTTTTTATATCGTAATGCCGCATCGAGTCCTTGTCGTAATAGTGCGTGCCGCGTCCGAGATGCGACCCCTCCAATATGAGATCGGGGTCTTGGTACTCGTTCGACCACATTTCCTCGGCATCGCAGGGGGCTATCTCGACGCTGTTCGACTTGTTCTCTTGCGGCTTCACTTTTATGACGCGGGAATAGTCGGGCCAGTCGAGGAACTTCTCTTTGAATAGTATCGTCTCCATGTGCTGCGTCACTTTGGACAGTATCGTCCACTCGGGTCTGGATTTGGACGCTTTCACCAGCGGGGTGGATTCCTCCCTGGCTCCTTGGTATACCGCCGCATTGAGTGGGTTGACGTGACACTCCTCGTAGTTGTAGCCGTCGTCGTAGAGCTCCTGGGCAAGCTGGGCCGCCCGCCTCCTGCTCTCGAGCGGCACGTTCTTCCCGAACCATATGTACATTTCCGAGCCGAAGTCGAACACGATGATCTTCGTCTGGTGCAACATCGCGATCCTCGGCACTTGGCCCCAGTACTCCTTTATCGGCACCAGCTCGTCGTCCGCCACCTCGTAGCACATGTTGGTCTGGACTATGCAGGACTCGAAGATCTCGTCCTCATCGGCGTGGCCGGCTTCGACCGGCTTGTAGTCCTCGACGCCTTCCGTGACTCGGAGCAGCGACCAGAACTGGTTCCAATGTTTGTTCGAATAGTTCTTGGTTTGCTCGTCGATCTTGATCACCCCCATCGAGTTCTTGCAACCGAGATCTTTGGTGTTGTGAATGTGTAAAGCGATGTCGGTACTACGATTCCTGGAAGAGAATTAATAATAAAAAAAAAGTTATGCTAAGTCTTGCATGATTTATAAGGAATCTTCACAGTCGACTCCTTCACTATGTAATATTTAAAACTAACCTCTCGATCACATTGGCATACAGTCCAATATACAAGAAAACTTGGTCGGGAGTAACCAGTAGGAAGCAATCGCCACGATTGACGTTCGCGTGCACTGGCTCAACTAGTCTTGTCTGAAAAAAACAGGATTAAAGAAAAATTTCATTTACCATAGGGAGATTTCATCAAGAACTAGGTAGACCTATAGCTAAAACATCATTTATTAACGGTAGCAACAGGTGCATATCGGCTTGATATACATTTATACAATATATTCTATGGTTAAAAAAAATATTTCGAAGATATGTGAAGTCCGCGAATCCGCAGTGGGGCCGCGTGGTGGACTATGCCCTGATACCCTCTATATAGAGGAGGCCTTTGCCCAGCAGTGGGACATGTATAGGCTGTTACTTTACTTTTACTTTACTTTTATTCTATGGTTTAATTAAAATAAAATATAAAGGTACAAAAACTCTGTATTTATTATACATTATCTTCCAGCTTTCATTGTATATGACACTGTCTACATATGATTATTTTTGTATTAATACGCATACATTTTAAAGACTTCGAGTTGTTGCAACAACCTGACAATAAATAAAAATAAAAATTCAAATCCACTGTTTGTGTTCGTCTTAAGTTTATGCATAAAATAATCCTTTCATGCTATGACCTGCTTTCGTTCCTCACAAGTACAAGGCTTTTATTCCGTTCGCGTTATTTTTTAAAAAAAGAGAGAGATAGAAACACACACCTGCACTCGTCTCCTTCCCTTGACGTGTAGCAGCATGAGCGGTTTGGTGCCGTGGCTCGGGATATTGGCGGAGGAAGCACTCCTCAGGGCCACGCTGGAGAAGTCCTCTTTGCTAGCCAACGCGGCCAGGGCCTCTGCTGCTAAGCCGCAGTTGGCCGTCGCTATAACAGTGACATTTAAATTATTTCATGCTGCTGGGTTTTTTTTTTTGTTTTCCACCGAAAGTTATAACCACTTTCGGCGGCAGTAGATTTGAATAAATATCGCAGAGTTTCATATGATCATGTTAACAACTAGAGCATTTCACACCCATTAGTATTGGTAATTCCTCGGCATAAAAAAGATATACTTTCTTTTCATATGAGGAAACTGCGAGCGAGGGGGAGGGTCACTTAATGTTAGTTAGTTAATGGTGATGTTGCATCATTCATCAGACGAAACAAATACAAAATACAACTTCAGGGTTATGTCGGGATCGTATCCACTAAAACCCCTTCGGTGGACACCTACTGTACGTATAGGACTCAGGGATTTCCTACGGAATGCACCGGTGTTCCTCGGTACTGCTAATGAGTATGGCTCGGAGAAGGATCAACCTTCCCAGATTTGTTTTTTATGTGAAAAGTTGCCAAACGAGCAGACGGTTCACCTGATGGTGAATGAATACCGCCGCCCATGGACTTCCGCTACACCCGAGGGTTACAGATGCGTTGACAACCTTTTGGAAACTGGGCTCCGGCTACCTCACTCACTAGACGAAACGCGAAAGTATTTGTCATACTTCCACTTTACGCTGGTCTTCTGTGAGGTCGTGGTACTTAGCCGGACGGAAATGCCCATTCGTGCAACAGCCGAGGCTGCTGCGTGGGCCTACCACCGTAAGAAATTCCCTCACCATCTTGCAACAGCTCGAGACCACTTCGTATTAAGTGGAAGTATTAAACTTTCGCGTTTCGTCTGGTGAGTGAGGTAGCAGGGTCACTTTTATTATGGATTTTTTAGAATTTTGCAACGCATCTGCAACCCGTGAGATGTTGCAGATGTCCATGAGCGGCGGCAATCACTTAACATCTAGTGAATAGTCTACTCGCTCTCGGCAGGCATGGCAGGCATGGGGGTGTCTCTCGCTCAATATTTTGCTCGTGACGTGTGTGTGCCAATTGCACAGCACTATAGCCCGGTTCCTATATTCAACGAACGAAAGCCGTTAGTTACAATGTCATTATGAAGTCGTTACGAGTGGTTATGAAAGCAACGAAGTTATGTAACTAACGGCCGGTCGTTGAATATGGGAACCGGGCATTAGTAGTAGAGTAGATATTATGTGGCGTATTTGAGCAATAAATGTTTTCTTTCTTTCTTTCTTTCTTTCTAGAGGAGCCAAAAAGGCCATAGTCGCGACGGAGTCGCAGCAGATTGCGTCCACGTGTTCCCGTGTCCACGGCCGATGCGACAGAGACAGGTGCAACGCGGGTTTTTCAGTGGGTACCCGTTATTACTGGGACTCCCGCATACAAGCGGCAGGGGTCCGTAAGCGGAAAAGAAAATGGCTCGTCCGTCGGCCGTTCACACAATAAAAAACCCACCCCTCTCCTTGACGAGCTGGTCGCGGATCGTGTTCGGCTGGGCGAGGTACTCCTGGCGGAGGTCGGTGCGGGCGGCCAGGGCGCGCAGCGGGTTGCGCGAGGCCGCGTGCCGACGCTCCCTTTTAGCGCGGCGCGCCCACTCGCCGGCGAGCCTGAACAAGGCCAAAGCCAATGCGGTCACTTAGAGGTCGTTTGAAAATGGACTTGTACATTAGCTGGTGTTTCAGCTTTCAGCCCGTCAACTGTAAGAGCTTTATCTAGCCCACTAACTAAGCGAGAATACATAGCTTGATACGCCCCGTGAGGTCACTTTGAGGTCATTGGAAATGGACTTGTACATTAGCTGGTGTTTCAGCTTTCAGCCCGTCAACTGTAAGAGCTTTATCTAGCCCACTAACTAAGCGAGAATACATAGCTTGATACGCCCCGTGAGGTCACTTTGAGGTCATTGGAAATGGACTTGTACATTAGCTGGTGTTTCAGCTTTCAGCCCGTCAACTGTAAGAGCTTTATCTAGCCCACTAACTAAGCGAGAATACATAGCTTGAAGGTCACTTTGAGGTCATTGGAAATGGACTTGTACATTAGCTGGTGTTTCAGCTTTCAGTCCGTCAACTGAAAGAGCTTTATCTAGCCTGCTCACTAAGCCAGAATATATAGCTCGATACGGCCCTCCTCGCCGAGTTGGGCCGCGTGTGTGGTGACAAACATGACATTCGCGTCACACGTATCTATAGTTGTGGCATGCGATTTCAACTGCGAGAAACGTTTCCGCTTCGCCTCCGTTAGTCGTAGCGTGATGTCAAACAGTCTATAACCTTCACGAAGAACTGAGCAATAAAATGCAAAAACATTTTATAACACCAAACTGGTAGTTCCAGAGATTAGCGCGTTCAAACAAACCAATCCTTCTTTATTTTTTATTATCCCCACTAATATTATATATATGAATATAAGTTTACGCTTTCACGCAAAAACTACTCGACCGATTGTTATGAAACTTTGTTGTGTACAGTTGTTCATAGAGGTATTTAATACGACATAGGATTCATTTAAAGTTCCAAGGCGGGTGGAGCCACGGGCGTAAAGTTACTATTATTATAGATTGTAATATTTTCATCTGGGCGACGCGTCTACGGCCGCTCTAATGTGGTAGAGGCGGTAAGCACTTCCGCCCAACTTTTGGCCGTCATACTTTCCCGGACGGGCCTGCCCATTCGTGCAACAGCCCCAGCCGCCCTGTCCGTGCCACAGTAAAAGGTCTCACTCACAGCTGCCTCGATCCGCTGTCGATGGCGTCCAGGTCGAGGTCCAGGTCCAGCTCGGCGGGCGCGCCCTCCCTGGCCTGCAGCGGCGCGAAGAACGCGTGGAAGGTCTCGTCATCGGCCTTAGGAATGCGCACAGCGCTTCCCGTCTTCTCCGCTCCGGGAGACTCCTCGTCTGCGAATATACAATAATCGCAATCATTTATTTTTGAAGTCACTAAGACTCGTATACGTTTAATAATGTCGTGTGCGTTTACTTTTAATAATAACGATTACACATCGAATGAAATTATATGAACGAACCAGCAACGGTTTGTGCTTTAGTGTTTTTGGAAACACAAACTCGGTTGACATAAGGTACGATACAACGTTCAAGACCTATATTTTACCATGTTCTAACAAACCCCTACCCACTGAGGAGGGGTTTGTACAAACCCGTGGGTTCTGGCTAGCCCACCGGTTCTGCGTTCGATGAAGCTTTAAAAGTCTAAGGACTGAAAGCATAACATCAGTTATACAAATTTAACAAATAAACGTATCTTTCTTTCTTTCTTCCGTGCAACAGAGACTTTTGCGCGGCCCTGTATAACGTACACTTCAAAGTATGCCCGACTAGTTCTACCATGTTCGGTGAGCACTTACTCTCATCGAGCCTGCTGATGCTCTCGCTGACTGAATGGCTCCGCTTGAAGGACTCGCGGTCCACCCGCGGCGCCTCCTTCGGCTGGGCTTCCGCGGCGCCTACGACGGCGCACGAAGCCGAGCGAAGTGGGCCCGACGCGAAGCCGTTCGTCGGCGACGTTGGCGCTTTGCGGGACCTGCGATTCGGAGCGGACCTGTCAGGACTATGTCCGTCTCTGTCTTCCCAGTGAACTGTCTCTTATATAAAAAAGAGGATTGTATAACCATGTCTACCTCTATCTTCGTTCGAATCGATGTGGGAGGATGACTGTCTCTCTGTCTGTTTATATAAGAAAGAGGATGAATAAAATCATAACTATCTCACTCTTCGTTCGTACCGATGTGGGAAGATAAGTATCTCTCTGTCTGTTTGTATAAAAGAGGATGAATAAAATCATATCTATCTCTGTCTTCGATCGAACCGATGTGGGAAAATTACTATCTCTCTGTCTGTTTATATAAGAAAGAAGAATAATAACACCATATCTATCTCTATCTTCGTTCGAACCGATGTGGGAAGATAACTGTCTGTCTGTGTAAATAAGAAAGAACATATACCTATGTAAATAATAACATCATAACTATCTCTATCATCCTTTTAGTGGTGAGCAACACACATCTCGTGTTGCGGATCAGTGAATAGGCAACAGTAATTCATATTATAAAGAAGAGCGAGGTTGATCTCTACCTCTTTTTTACCCGAATGCGGCGAAGATAAACAAATAGATTCGGAATTATAACGCGAATGTCACTGGGCGTACTATAATAATAAAAAATAAAAATGGCGGCCACAATGTTTTAGTTTCTTTTTTTAATTACTGAATTGTTTCCCTACAATGTGAAAAAAAAAAAAAAAAACAATTATATACCTAAACTTATTCGGCGGCGGGATTCCGGGCGAGGCGACCTGCGGCGCAACGGGCGGCGGGGTCAGGGGGGGCGTTGCGGTCGTGACCTTGTCCCTCTCGAGCCGGCCGGCCACGGTGAACAGCGAGGCGTCGCTCTGCGGCACGCGTTTGCGCCAACCCTGGAAAGATGCAAAAAGTGCAACTTGTATTATGGAACAACGACGAATTGCACTGGACATTTAGGCCAACCCTAATAAAATTATAAAGAAATAAATTATGAATAAGCAGCAATAGATAATTTAAAATTTAAATATATGTTTGCAATTCATATCAAGTATACCTATTTTCACAAAAATATATTCGTTTACGAATACTATCGCTTTTTATTTACAGTAAATACTTCCCGTTTTACTTTCCGCGTTAATAAAATAAATTTAATTAGATTTTTTTTATCCCATTGGTTTTTCATATTCACACATAAAACCGATTGTCCGACATATTAGTATTGCATGAGGTAATAATTTACAGATTTACATCAATATATTATTTCGCTTTTTTGATGTATGTAAGTCACACACGTTAACAATTCGATTGCCATAATGAAATTCGCAATGGCGGTCTATTGATTACCACAAAACCTCTGTCTCGTTCATATTTACCACTGCTTTTTTAAGTTACATCTAGTTATAATTTTAAAATCAGATCTAGGTTGTCTTACAGGAATATAAGTCATAACAGTCAGCGCCATATAAAACAAAGACAATGCTTATAAAACCGAGAAACGCGAGAGCAAATGCAATGTGGTGACCGTGAACTGTTCTTACTTTTATGGTACACACGCGGTGTCTTAAATAAAAACAAAAGCGACCGTCGTGACTAATGGGTCTTATACAAACATGTAACAAGGAAACGGCTCGAGAGATTATCAGCCTCTGGAAGCTTCATTGTCACCGAACCACCGTTCTCCATACATGGGCTTTTTAATGAAGCATTGTGACTAAAATCCGTTCATCAGATTATTTCCATGCCGACTGTACTCGTTTTGTTAAAGCTGCAATGCGTGTCGCAGCTCTAATGCTTTAGTTTGTCTTTGATTTATTTCCACCAATCAATGCGCAAAGCAAAAGGCTCTAAACGCCTAAAAGTCAATACCAATCAAGTACCTACCCTTTTGATTATTCCACCTTTGATTATGATGCATTGGTATCGCTGTACTTTATAGAGCTAGGCGTAAAGTTTGTAAGAGGGTATGTAAGAACATCGTTTGCACTTTGCACGTAGAACATTACCAATTTGTTTAAGGTACACATAAATGATTGAGTGATGAATGACACCGTGTATCAATACAGCAAAAGTTAAACAGCCATGTACTGAGTCATAATATCATAACAAAGCGCGAAAATTTTAACTTCAGTATATAGAATGTAGTAAAGTAAATTCAATTTATTGAGTTACACATCATGCGGTCAGTGACTCATTACGGTTAAGGTTTGAAATTACTCACTCGAGCTCGGACATAATATTTCGATATAAACGACAACGGTATACGGAAACAAAACGTCGAGAACGCAACCAATTAGCATTGAAACGCGAAGAAAAGGGCCCTGATATTTGAAATAGCGTTTAAAACTGTGACTGTATTAAGGATACCCTACTTGTCACAAATGCAACGATCGACCATATATTACTCTAAAAGAAACCTTATTACATGTTAGTAAGGTACCTACAAGCCTAGAAAGGATTGCGGCTTTCGAAATGAGAGCCTGCTAGGAGGTCGAGCATTGATTTAAACGGCATTCCAACGGTAAAACATTTCAATACTGTTGTACGCTTTAACTACATTGATTTTATAGACCGCCATTACCCGCGACACAATTCAAAACACAGTCGAGTCATAAGGTACGGCACAAATAAAGGCATACAGTAAAGACATATTTCATAGCTGTATAAAGATCAGTTTGAAAGTGTACGTCAAAACGAAATAACTATAATTCTTACTCACATCATCGATGTAAAGGGCGCAGAGGAAAACATGTCCTCAATGACTCAAAAACATTAATCTAATTCAATGATCAATATAAAAATATATTTACATTTAATTTTATGAAAGCACCTTTAAGTACCAACATTTCTCATGAATAATGCGACTGTCGCCGAGAAGAGCCGTTTCTTTGTCGATGCGAAGTGTGCATTACTCTTAGTTTAAGGAACATTAAAAGTGCAACGCCACTGAGTGCAAGTAATTATTATTTCAATAAAGCTCAACGTTCTTCTTTCAAGTATTTAAGCGAATTAATATAATATATTAATATAATATATATTAATATACTAATACATACACATAGCACTGCCCGCGTTAATCCACAGTTAAATTAGTAAATAAAAATGTATCCTATGCACTTAGTCACAGTATCTCCTCATGAGAAAATAATGAACTATCACAAAAAATTACATTCATGATTACATATTTACGTGACATTAAGGCCCGGTTTGTGAAACACTGATCATCGTAGAGTTAACTAATCAGCTGTCAAATGGATTGTTAAATGTTATTTGAGTTGCCAAAAGGATCGATGAACCCTTTGAATTGATCATTAAGAAGATCATCCTGATCAATTCAGAGAGTTTAACAATCCGTTTGGCAACACAGATAGCATTTTAAAATCCATTTGACAGCTGATTAGAAAACTTCTACAATGATTAGTGTTTCAGAAACCGGGCGTAAGGCTATTAATACGTAGCTTATATCAAGATTTTCTCTCTCTTTCTTTTTCTCACCTGTGCGGCAGTTTCAAGTTTGTTTCTTCTATCAGCCAAGATGTTGGACCCCAATTCATTTTCATCTATGTGAACTTTCTTTTTGTCCTCCACAGAATTTAGCGATTCCTGTAACAAAGGGAAAAAAACGTTCGATTACTCACGATCATTATTATTGGTAATATTACTGGTATATTTTGAAGACAAACTGAGGTTAATAAATGCAAACTATAGGGTGCAGATAAGTCAATTATTATGAATGATTCAGATAAACAAATGTCGTCCTCAAAAGAAGATTTTTAGGTTAGATTCTTGGATTAGAATCTTGGATTTTTCAAAACATAGATACAGGTCTAAAATGAAAAATATGATGATTTAATGAATATAAGTCAAAGAATGTAAGTTTGATATGAATACAAAATTACACTACTCAACAATCGCGATCATATGGACTACAGAGTAAACATTATATCTACCAACATAAAATGTAATCCTTGTCCTTCTTAGCTGTTTGATCATGCAATTCGAGCACGGTTCAATGCTTTCGGACCAAATTTTATTGTAAAATAAATCTATTTGCTCTTTATTTGAAATTATAATAATTTTTTAGCAATTATTTATTAAAAAATAAATGTTGAAATGCATAGCCGAATAAATTATACTTGTGAGTGTGTTTCTTTCAATTTTAAAACTCATAAAAGTTTATTTTTATGAAAAATAAAACTATGTATAATGCCATCGGCATTACAGCACAAGGCAATCTTAGAGTGGGTTAGTGGAATTAATTTCAGATGTTCTAAAACAGGTGAATCTAGCTTTTAAATCTTCCTCCTCTCTTCGGATTAAAATATATAGAAACATATTTCATCAAAATATAAAGATTTTTAGCAATGTAACAACCGTTCTTATGTTAAGAAAGATCCAGGTAAACATTTGGAATATCACAATTAGGACAAGCTAATGAGACATGAATGAGGGATAACGGCTCTATATACATAATATATTGACAATACCAAACAATCCTTACAACAACTGTGATTGGAGTGGAATTTAAGAGGCAAGATTTAAATTCGTAGTAACATACAAATATTTTAGCATATTACTACGGATGTATATGTTATATAACAATTAAAATATATACAAGAGAATCTTGTATAACCATAACGATTTTAACAATGAAATTTCGCAGGCATAATATAATGATTTTCTAAAAATTATATACTACAAAAGAAATATTACTCCAAAACACTGTTACATCCTTCATAGATGAGACTCAAATGACAAGATATCCTATCATCATTAAGATCGCCAAAAGGAAACTTAAAAGGACTACAGACATACAAACTTCTATTAACCTGAACAAGATTTCTTTTATGTGTATCTCGCAAGCGAGCAAGGTCACCTGACCTTAAGTAACTTCTACCACCCATAGACATCGACAACATCAGAGGTTATCGATGTCCTTCCTTAAAAATCGTTAAAAACAATAGGCTCCTGTTACCTCACTCACGGGGCGAGTCGCAGTGTGAATTAGAAGTAACGTGAAGTAGAAGTAATACTTCTACAAGTAATACTTCTACTTCACGCTGGTCTTCTGTGAGGCCGTGGTACTATCAAGGACGAGCCTTCCCATTGTTGCAACAGATAGCGACGGAGCAACGAAGATAGCTTCTTGGGTCAATGTTACGTTGGATCTGAATCGTCTATGACATTAGATCATACGTTTATTTGCAGCCGAATATAACAATGACAGCCGCTTTATTTATAATCATTTGTAGTGTATTAGCGAGTATAAACAGCTTCCGGCTGTTTAGTCAAACCTCTAAGGACCTAGTATGACATTTAGGCTTACTCGTAATGATTACATTAGAGGTGTACATATATACTTGTTATGTTCCATTAGTATAGTAAATACTTATAACAGTTTCTTTTTTTCAAGGATTTACAACAGGGTTACTCATTGCTGGGCAACGCGTGATTCAACTATAAATTAGATTCCAAGTTGACAATTGCTCTTATATATACTTCTCAAGCGATAACAAGAGTTCTTACATTTGTGCATTAAAGATAAAAATACAATTAAAAGTTCCATGATGGATTTTTAATTATCACTATGCAAACTACAACAAGTTATCTCTGAAAACAATTTAAATTGCAGTAATCGGCCATAACTGTTTCATAAATAAAAATAATCATAAAAGAAAAAATAACATGCCTGTACATTGTCCACGACATCGGTTTCGAACTTCCTGAAGACAGGCTTCAAGCCGCCGTTCGCGCTCCTAGTTTTACTTTTTAACTCTCCAATAACAGAACCAAAGTTAAGTCCAGCTGGTTGCGTTTGGAGGCGCCTTAAAATAGGTTTATTTTCTACAAAAACATTTACCTCTTTCTGTATAATATAATTTCGGTTTATTTCATTTTCCTTAATAGCGTTTGCTGCCACCAGTTCGTGAATGCTTTGTTTTAATTTTAAATCTTTAAAAAACTCTGGTTTATCAATTTTTATATCATCTTTCACTGTGAAATCAAGTGATTTCCGTGATTCGAATTCAGCTTTGTCCAAAGATAAATTTTGAATAATAGACTGCAGTTTGTCATCGTTCAGAATAGTTTTTTCTAAGAATTCTGCTAAACGTTCTTTTGGCGGGCTAGCTCGCTTATGAAATGTTTTATTTTGATGTGCACTTTCGTCGCGTAGATCTTTCGATTTCGTTCGGTTTGGTATTTCTTCATTATTTATTACAGGCGTTTGCTGTTGCAAATTCTTTTCGATAAAAATTACATTATTAATATCGTCTTGTACGTTTCTATTATCGTTAGATTCCTTAATATGATTGACGTCAATGTTATTAGTTAAATCGGATTTGTTTTCCACAGTAGCACAACCATTTTCCCTGTTTACTGCCGCATCTAATATATTACTATGTTTCTTCGTCAACAAAAACTTCCAGAGGAGATATATCAACAGTCCAAAACCAATTATCACTTCATAAATCATTTTGCGTAGAAAATCAATCGTATCACATCACTGACTAGAATAAGATCACTCGGCCATCCACACCATTAGGTTTTCGTTTAACGATAACAACAATTATTGTTTGCACTATTTAGAATCACACATTGTCAATGTTCGGTCGCACTGCGTGTAATGGGCTCATAAATAAAACACAACTCCGCATGGCACACTGGGATACAGGTTTGACGGGTTGGTTGGTAAGGCCACAAAGGGAATATGAAACAGAGGGGGGGGGGGGGGGGGGGGGGGGAAGGGACAACACAAAGGCGAGTGAGTACGGCAAGACGGACGCGCACTGACTGACCGAAGAGAGGCTATTATCATCCGGCTGCGGTCGCGGTCTGACTCAAGCGCAGATCTAAGAGCGTCGGCAAACACTATCGGCCCGGGGGGTGACGCATCACACGTGAGACGAACTTGTAAACATTGTAGGTGCGCCGAAACCTGTAAGATTTCTTAATACCGACCGGAGAAAACGTTTAAAACTATCTGCCGATGTGCAAAGGGCCTTCGTGAAGAATATTCATGTTTCCTGACGCAGCTAAGCAAAGCATATATTAGCAAACATTGATAAGATAAATTAGGTGTTTATTATAAGGTGATTGATTAAATTCACGCAAATGCGAATAGTTCATTAGTGCAGATAATTTAACGACATATTATATTTTTGTGATAGCAGGAAAAATCTTATGTGTATACTCCGTTCATTAGAATGATAAATTGACCGTTTTTAACCAATAAGTGAACTTGTTTAGAAATTAGAACATATTTAAAATGTATTAACATGAATTTGGTTTAATGATCGACCGCAAATGGTTTTAGAAATTAAATATGTAGACATGATATAATGTTGATTGACCGACCAATTTCATTGCCGATAGGAAAATTTTTATGACCCGCGATGCCAAATCAGCGTAAATTATGAATTCTAAGAACGAATAATATAAAAGCCCTTCTTTCATAATTGTCTAAATATATACGAGTAGCCCAATAAACGTAGATCCTTCCATAAAGCCCAAGCGGTATCGATATAAAAGATGATATACAATGGCTTTTTGCGTGTGTTCAAATCTGGACTGTAGAAACATACGGTACAGAGTTCGATCGAGTGCCAGTTACCGATTGAACAATTAGCAAACAGCACGTCACGGCCCAAATGCGAGCCAAAATCACAATTCTAATTAGAAATGGTGTGTAGAAAAGAGTGAAAGCAGCGTTATGTGGCACAAGATTAATTGCAGTTCTAATTAAACATTGTTCTCGAGTATACGCATTTGAAAACATAAAAGTAAATTGGCGGCGTAAGCTCTGAATACCCAAGTGTAACAGAAGCAATACAAGGCCACGAGATAGCGCGATAATTGAGATAAGGGTCGATAGCAGCAATGTACCGACGGATATAACTGATCGAACTAGCGCTTATAAATTAATAATACACGTTCGGTGATCAATTCCAACTCGGAGGGCATATTCGTCAAAACACATGTGGGTGAATCATCGGCAAAATGTGCGATTAAATGGAAACACATCGCGCTAATATTAAAAATGAAATAGTTGGAAACCATTACGCCTGATCGGACTCGAATGAAATTTTGTATTTTTTATCTCGGAGAAAACAGCAATTTTATCTCGGAGAGAACCAAGCGAGCACAGACGCGATTTAATGTTAGAAACTCATGGTACGAGACTAAGGGCGAAGCGAGGGATAGTTACAAATCTCTATGAGATTCCTCAGTTAGGACGCGACGATGTAGAAAGTCCTATCAATCGTACGGGACAATTGGTATGCGTATGGCGGTGATGCGCGCGCGCACGTTGACCGAGGCCGCCAAAACAACTGACTGCCGGTGCCCGATGGTCTGGCAAAGCGGCCGGATCGCCGACGTAGCCAAGCACTCGACCCGCTTGCTCTATGTATACAATACAACCCGTCGCTCTGTGCTTCTTTTCGTTAAAATGTAGTAATTATTTCTGATTATATATTCTATACTAATAAAAAAATAATAAAGTGCATTATTAATAGCAAGTTTAATTTCATTCCTTAAAATAAAAAATTCGCTTACGTATGTTTGTGTCAACAAAACTAAAATTTTCCGATGGATTTTGACTTGATGTTTGTATAACATGACACACTCCTGTTCCATAGCTATATGTACACAATATAGATGTTGAACAGGAGAGTGTTTTCATATACTTTTTATTCTGAAGTTCCAACTGAAAAAAAGGCATAGCGACGCGCTGCTTCGTTCAGTTAGTTATTAAATGTAAATATACAAAGTAACCTATCCTACCAAAATTCACGACCAATTAATTAACCAACTATTATTGTCGACATCGCTCAGACAATCGATACCAAAAGTGCATAAGGAAGTTTAATTAATTTCCGAACGCAGCAAAGATAAAAACGACAAAACCGGAAGTGTCACGTGCATACACACAAATAAAATATTTCAAAACGTTTCATTAAAACCTCGATATGGAAATTTTAGGCCTTGATATTTATGAACGTTGATGTAATAACGCGTTGCGTTATTTATGTAGCAAACAGCTCGTTATTGTAGGAAGCGCCCTTTTTACTCGCGCGAAAACTTTTAAATTAAATGTCTTTTTCACAACAGTCAAGATCGCGCGCCGCGCTTTAATTTGCAATCCAATTAAATTGGGCCGTTCTAGGCGCGTGTGATCGAGAAGACGTGTTTCTCGCTTACGCAAGCAGATATAACCCTTATTTCCATGACATCAAGGCGTCATGTACTTTTTAAAGGAAAACGAGAGTATTGGTGTGATGGAGGTGCTTAAATAACGTTTTATGGTTTGTTTAATGTGGAAAGTTGTTATTCGTACTTAATTACTACTAACTGTATATCTTTCATGTGTTATGTAAAGCAAATAATAAATATTCAAGTTGACCATTCGAATTAGCTAAGCCCGTTTACGGTTAGAATTTAAACAAACAAATTCGCCTCAGACCTGCTAGCGATGAAAAAAACAAAATGCATAGAATTGAGAATTTCCTTTTTTGAAATCGGTTAATTAAACAAAAGAAGTATTATGAGCTTGTAGAATTATATTTTAAATATCAACTATCTAACTCCGTCAACGCCAAAAGTTTGATGGGCAATACCGTATGGGAGAGACCTTAATTACATTTTTAATTACCCATGTCTTTCTTCTTTTTCATTACTTAATGCTTTTTAAACTAAACTACTTTACGGATTTCATTGCGACTACGGATGGGAAGACTTGTGGCTTTATATCATTCCTATTTTCATTTCATATAAGAAATGAAGATGGCCAGCTTGTTAAGGTAAACAATGTTACATACTTTACACATACAATGTTGGCGAGCGTCTAGGCACTGATTGATTGATTACTCTGAAATCAGTGCGATTACAAATAACATTGCATTTTCAACGTATTTGCGAAACTCAAGAAGATATTAGCTAACGGGCACGATTACTTAAATCGATAACTGCCATATTTAAGGCCTCAAGGATTCCGGATTAGAAATCCGCATTATAAAAACCAATGCCAAAATATCTACTTTCAATTGATATTGAGAAATCTTTATACTAGTATCAGCGGCCATTATAATAGTTGGACGACAATTAAGTAAGTTCATTAATTAAAAAAAAGGAAATGAAATGTAGTTTTTTTTTAATATTATCAAAATCGATACATTCCCGTTACACCCGTTTTCACCCGGCTTGAATTTATTACATACTCATTTTGTAATATTTCTGAACCAATGGAATAAATGCATATTTTCGCCAAACATTATTTAACAACCAACAGTATGGTACACCGTTCTGCACCTAGAAAATTAATTAGTGGGAAGTTCTATGTGTTAAATAGCAATATAATCAACTTCTATATCGGTCGGAAATTACTCCGGGTCGAACGATAATATATCGGGGTTTCGCAGACACATCCGCTGGCGGGGGACATAACAATGGTTCAAATGATTTAATCAATTATTTCCGCATTAAGTAATAAGCTACGCTATGCTGTACAGTTATTGAAATTTATAAAAAATAAACGCTTTAGATCTACAAAGGTATTATTTATATTGTATGCTATAGAGCCAGCGGTCTAAATGATTAAAAATGCAATATACTCAATAATTTGAGTAATACTGTTATTACAAGCATACAAGATTTTGGCTACGTTCTCCGGTTTTTGTCTACTTTAAAAATAGGAAATCTATATTAGTGTAACGATACATCGCAACATCGCCAGATGTCTCTCAGTTTACAACATCCTTGCGTTGGCCAACGTGCGTAATTAATTACAATTCTTGACGTCAAACCCGACGTCACCGGGCACTTTCACACTGGAAAGGTTCATAAGCATCTTCAAGAATTTCATTACAATGAATAATTTCGCCTAATGCAATCATCATCACTTTGCAATTTAAAATCTACATCGTTTTTGGCATGATGACAGGCAATAGCTACCTACAGACAGAAGCGTGCGTTCAAAGCCTAGGTTGATAGCCGTGCTCTGGGAATTTGGCTAAAAACCAACTATTTATTGACTATAATATTAAATATTGGTTATTGTATAAAGTTAGGTTCGGTTATATTGGCTGCGTAACCGCTGTCGAATTGAACGATGGTTATAAACTCTCACTCAAACGTATTAATGCAACATCATTATTGAATTAATAGGACTAATTATTGATTTAAAAGCCAAGGAATATTTATACCTTTTTGGTATCAGAGCAATTTTAAAATACACCCTATCTCCAGGGGGGAAACACATCCACCGACTGCATTTTAAAGAATTTAGACCTACACCATAAAATGTTGTATTAGAAGCTTGTAATGATGATACCAATATTTTAATATTATTTTCTATGGATTTTATCGCGGTTAGTTTTTATTATTAATTATTTTAATAATTATAATATAACACTTGTGGTAGATGGTATTGAGATGAAATAAATTTTATTACGCAAGATACACAACAGTGTGAGGAAATATTACCATTGAATTTACATAATATTAACAAGTGACGGTTTGATGGAGGTGCAAACAAAATCGAACACATGCGAAAAGTCATTTTCGATTTCTAAAATAGACACATAGCGATTTGAACGAAGCAAGATTTACGAACGAAGCAGTGGTAAGGGCGTATTTGATGAACTCATAGCAAAATCGCAAGTGTTAGATACAAACTACAGAGCTCTTACGGGACCCTGATTAATTAGAACGCAAATGTTAAATAGAACGTACAGCATAAATGAGAATCGTGTCAAGAATACTTGGAATCGAGACAAATATTGTGTAGGCGTCGAGTTACATTGCGACGAGTGAAAATCAAGAGATAAATACTAAACAAGCGTATGACGGACGCATTGAGTTTTAAAAATATTGCGGAAATACCAGAAAAAACGACAGCATTGAATTGAAATCTTGGAAAATTTATGGCTTATAAATTGAAAATTAATGATAGGTCAACCTTTTTCAATATACCATTTTATTTATGATTGAAATCTGGAAGACCGACAAAATATATTCTTTGGTGTATGACATCAAGTATTAAAAATCCAAAGTTCCGTCACATATCCATTTCTGTTCCTGAACCTTATACAAAATTTAAACTCTTTATGTGCACGACAACATATTTTGTTTTTACTCTAAGCAAAAATCGTGGGTAGAGTCATATGTAAATGCGTACATATATCGTACACATTGCAGGAATTTTACAAGATATACATACAGTCACGCGTATAAATATGTACAGAAGCTGACGTTTGTCGCTATTACTTTTAAGGCGCAGAATGTTCAGCGTTCATGCGCTTTTAAAGAAACATTCTTTTTAAACGTGCAAATTCATGATTGCCTATGGTACAAAATATATTGTACGACGCGCGTAATTTCGTGCAATATAAAACATTTGAAGTTTCGTTTCAGATAGCTTACGTCAATTAGGTAGTTTTAGAAAGCAGTTGCACGTGACTGTACTGTACAAATAGTTTGGTATGTATCACGAACTAACCCAAACAGGTTTCGAACAGAGTGCGAGTGAGACCTATGTTTGTTGGGTTGCTTGCTGCTCTACCAAACCGTCTGAGTCAAACTGCAACTCTTTAATCAGCTAAACAAGGTGGTAGAGCAAAGCAACGGCTCCTGCCGTTGCACGAATGGGCAGGCTCGTCCGGGGAAGTACGCGGCCTGATAGAAGATCGGCACGAAGTGGAACTTTAATACTTCCGTTACTTACATTTAAAAGCGCATCGAAAAATCAATGTTCAAATTTTTGTAGAAAGCCAATGGGCGGCGGTATTGACGGTAGCATCAGGTGAAAAAAGTATGCTCGCTTGACAACGATTTACTTAAAAATAATTACAATATATAAACTCCCGAGCTTGTCAGTTATATGAACACTGAGACTTAATAAATTGACACTTTTAATAGGCAACGTCATTTTCCTTCTTTTGCCAATACAGGGTCAATATTATTATTGGTCCAATAAGGCAATTTCCTGTTTACCAAGAGGAAGGAAAAGAACGTAAGTGTATTTATAAAACAAAGTATTGTAAATTTAATTTATAGTCTTGAATCGATTTTGCTTTCAAAATAACGTTGATTGATTTTGCTCTTTGAGACACGAAAAATAATTTTGAACTGAATTTTTCATACTACAGCTGGTTGTTAACTAGAATTCCAATCTTGTGTAAGATAAATTCTATTAAATTTCTGTCTATTAATTGCTAAATAAATCACACATTCTTATATTTTTATTTTTGGTTTCATTGATTTTTGTTAAATGAAAACTAAAACTCGTTTTCTGTTGTTTGTAGGCATCGGGCCCAAACACAGGGAAAAAAATTTCGCTCATCGGAAAAACAAATAATAATCAGACAGAACATCAGACCCACGCAACTCAGATGCCTGTTCTAACAAATGAATGTTCGATTTTTGGTATATACGATCGCGTGTTCATTGCATTAGTGTGAAACGATGAGTTTGAATTTCGAATATCTTACATACTACAATATTTCTGTCAATTCCCCGCAAGGGCGTCATGTCTATACTGGACACCAACTACCACGTATCGGAGTAAAGAGGCTCGATAGATCTTTACCTCTCTGTCTAAAAACCAAACGATATCGGCTATAAACGATATCACTATTTGTTAAAACGCAATTACATTACGTCCGCCGATTAGAACAGCACACACGGCCGCCCGAAAAGTCCCCGAAGCCGCACCTAGACTCGCTGCCGACCTCCTCCCGACAGCGCTCGTTAAGGCAAGGGCCGCGCGCCACCTTATAAGGCAAAGAGGACAACACGGCCTGCATTAAGCGCCCAGAAGGTCAACACGTCACATTTCGTTATCACTGCATAGTATAAAATAAAGTCGTCCCGCTGTCTGTCTGTCCCAATGTATGCTTAGATCTTTAAAACTACTGAACGGATCTTGATGCGGTTTTCTTTACTAGACAGAGTGGTTTAAGAGGAAGATTTATATGTATAATACATTGCACCCGTGCGAAGCCGGGGCGGGTCGCTAGTGTGTAATAATGTTGAGACGCGTGTGCACGTCGCAATTTTCTCGTTCGGCGGCGAACCATTGTCTCTCGGATGCTCGACGGGACGATTATCGCTAAATAAAGTGACATCTGCTTACCTTGACGTGCCCGCAGACAGGAAGCTGTGCGATGTACCCTTATATGACACCCGCGTGGGCGTACAAAGATGGCCGATTGGAGACAAGATTAACGGATAGCGCTAGAGCACTTTGTTTACATCGGACACATATAATGGATGAAACATAAAGATAAACTATACCCGAAAACAAAAGCCGTCGGACCATCTGTAAATTATTCATTCGTAAAACTTTGTTTCCATAGAATCTCACAAGAGGACAGTTAAAAGTAAACCATAAGCACGGTCATTAAAAAGTCGTTGTTCAAAATAATCTTACTCGTTTAACTTTAATTAATTTTAATGATTAAAACGATTTTCTCGGTTACAAAATCTTATTGTTCGATGAAATATTTCCTTTTCTTTTTCGTAGAATAATAAAAATCTAGCATGCTCGGTTTAAAAACAGGGAAAAGATCAGGGATAATAGCATGAAAAGCATACTTTGGAGGTTGCTCTATGAAACAAAACGATTCGACAAGAAAATAGGGAAAGGTCACACGGCTGACATTTACGGTGAACAACAAACTGTTACCCGATACCATTAAAATATCTCGAACTTTGAAACCCTTAAACAAAATAAACAGAGAAATACTAAAATAGACATAAAATGATAGCAAAATGGATGGTAATACTTGAATACAAACAATTTATGTAAAAAAATATCAATTAAAAACACACAACCAATAGGTATGGTATTATTATCACACCAATTTATCGAAATGTATCTATTGAAACATAATAAAAACCAAAAACCTTTGTCTTTGCTTAAAAATATTTCATTTTTATAAATTTTCAACTATTAAATTTTTAACACCTAAGCATACCGGTAAAATGTTAAATTTTAAAACTAAGACAGTTGATTTTCAAATTAGAAATTTGAAAGAATGGAAGAATTCTGTAGACACTAAAACAACGAAATAATTATTCTAAAGACCATTTCAATAGATGGCGCTGAACTTAAAACACGTACCTACGCACTTCTTGGGCAATAATGGTGAATACTTTCTTGAGGTCGATATCGCTTCAGGCCTTTACAGGATTCGAGTTTTATTACGTTCGCTGAGCACCACTTTGGTAATGAAAAAAAATCTCACGTATATCTAATAAATGAGTATATCTAATACGACGAAATTGAAAACATTTTGACGTATTTTTTTGCTAATTTACGAAGCATTCCTTAATATTAACATATTATACATATACATATTTCTTAAAATTTTATAGTAAAAAAGGCGATATGTACGGTACATAACAAAATATAACATGCATAGCTTTGAAAAATTTCAACTTGATTGCGAGAGTATAGGCATCTATTTATTAGTCTCTTAAATTAACTACAAACCACAGAAACTTTCATTAAATTAACCTTTCATAAAATTTATTTAATTCTTTGAGTCATACATTGTAAACAAGTACGTCGGTATTGAAAATTGTGTAGATTGTGAATATGTAACTAAAACTTAGTGTAAAAATTCTTAGTTAGATTATTCTTTGTTTTTAATTTTAGAACATACGTGTATACTGCGGTTAAAGAACAAAAAGTTAATATAGAATTTAAAGCATAGATAATTTTTTTTTAATGTAAAAAGTCGCCAAGCGAGCAGGTGGTTCACCTGATGTTAAGTGAATATCACCGCCCATAGACATCTGCTACACCCGAGGGTTTGCAGATGTCTTGACAACCTTTTGAAAATTGGGTTTAGATAATATGGCTTTTGGCATATACAAATGCTGCAAGTGCAGCTTTGACAAATTGAAATTGAGTTGAATTGAATCCTCGACTTATTGTTCAGACTCGTGAGCGCCGGTACTTTTCTCGCTCAAAGGTAAAATCTATAAAGCGAAGAAACGCGGCTACGGCAGTATTTCGCATAGGCTAGGTTTGTTTGGTAAAAATTTTTAATTTTGTTGGAATTTATATATTCTAACTTAAATGTAAAGAAAATTCAATAACATTTACGCAAGTAAGTGGAATATCAAACTTTTGAAATGTCTGCGAGAAGCAGGGACCGTAGCAATAAGAACGATGTGATGAATAAGATCTGCTCATAAAATTGATAAAATTATGACACAAAGCCACGAGCGAATTATGAACAACAAAATGTCTAGGATTTATTCGACCATCTTGTATGTGACAAATCATTATTAGTTTAGCCAATGATCTGTGAGACAAGACTGAGTCTAAACGCAAGACTCAGTCTTGCCTGCAAAACATAGAAATGCAACGCAAATATATTTCTTTCACTTTTCTCCATGCTCTATCTCTTATCTGTTTTCACACTTCTCTAAAAGACACTCTAGGGTGGAAAATAAATAACAGATATTATTAAATAAGATGTGACCGAGGAAATACTATAATTGAGGGAACACGTGAGCCGCACTTATGTACGCTTGTAGAAGGTATCAAAATTTTCAAAGCAAAGTATATAACAACAACCGACTGGTGCCGCTTTTCCGTGGAGATATCGCCGCCTAGTATACCAGTTTGCCCTTGACAAAAAATGCTATCGATTTCGTGTTTCACGACCAGTTCCAAAGTCAATGCGAATATTTCACGGCCCTGAGTTGCACACTTGAATTTATAACTGAAACTAATTAGAAAAATAATAGTGCATCGAATTAACAGGCCAAAGTACCGCCTCTACGTGCACACTAGCCCAAGAGTAATTAAAAGTGGTGATAATAATGTATGCATTGAATAGATCTTTGGTACCTACACCCTTTCCTTTTGTACTTAAGAACTATGTAAAGCTTCATCGGACAAAGATCTCGAACACAGTTTCCATGGGGCATGTTACGTCCCTACGGATAACAAACACATGTATACGCATGTGCGTACTTTGACATGGAGGTCGTTGGACGAGGGCTATCGATGGGCATTGAAGTGCAAATTCATTTCTTAACCTTTAATAGAAACGTATGAGTATATATTAGAATGACTTTTAAAATTTAATTTTTTTATGGTGCTAATCTCCTCGGTTATTTATGCCGCTATTTGCGCCGCTGCGGGAATGGACACCAAGTCTTGCGGATTCGCGTCCAAACGCTTTAACCACTAAGCTGAACGGGTGATTGTCACACCGACCTTCGTTTTTTTCGCATTTTAAACAAAGCTCTAGGGTCCATTTTCAGAAATGGCGGTACAAATTTTAATATTAAAATAATGAAACTGTTAAATCGTCTCCTTATGTTGTTTATCCATCTGTTTATTATGTATCACTTCAGGAACTACGAAAATAGGATAAAGAAGTTACAAAGAGTGCAGACAACGCACTGGCTCAGTCGTAGTCTCATCTGAAAACAAAGGGTGCAGTGCGCCGTAACTTCGCGAAAACTAGATACGGTGCTATCTCAATTCAACGCTCTCAATAGCTCTTTGAACTCTAGCATTTTTTTTTTGTTTGAAGAGCAGTCTCAGAAACAAGAATGGTACAACAATCTTCAAACAGTTCTATTAGTAAATTAAAGTAATCTTAAGGTGGCAGAAAATTAAAAAACGCACACAAGGTGGTGTCGATGGTAATTGGCGGTTTGACCAGTTGTACGATGGTAAAATTCGGCAGCAGGTATTAATTCGAACAGTTCTTCAGAGCACTCCCCGTGATATATCCGATAGAAAATGCAAAGGGATGCAACATCTCCTCCCAAGGCCAAAAAGTCGAGGCGATCGAACAGAATCTGGTCTACGATTTGACTATTATTTCGAAGATATGTGAAGTCCGTCAATCCGCAGTGGCGTCGCGTGATGTGTCTGTTATTATGCCCTACACCCTCTGTACAGAGGAGGCTTTTGCTTAGCTGTGGGGCACATTCATAGGCTGCTACTTTAATAACCTAAACACTAAACAATCCCTAAAAACATAGATTCATTAAATAATTGTATTTTTCAAAAACACAAGCGTATACGGGCATTTCGTATCTCATATAGGTGATACTAGTTATTAAATACTCAAGCCTTTCAGCAGACTGTAAGCATACTTTGGAGGCTTTTTATATTAAATATGCTGAGGCTTTAGCATACAAACTAACTGCACCACCTGACGTCATCAAAGCTGCAAGGTCGTCTAGTGCTAGAGCTCTCGTCTAGACTGAGGCACTTGACGTAGGGCAACTTTTCACTTTTCACCGTGGCAATTTTAACACGAGTGTTTTGAATAATATCTCTTTTAAATTGTCATGTTGTATAAAATGTAAATTTTAGTACGGTTGTTACAATGTTTTTCTAAGTAAAAAAGGTAGAGTAACAATCTATATATGTCCTGCTGTACAGATGGACTTGGAGGACTTCACATATCTTCGAAATCTTTTTTTTGTTAGTTCGAAAATATGCTGGTTCTCCTTACGATGTTTTTCTTCACCGAAGAGCACGTGAAAATTCAGCACTTAAAATTAACAATTTCATGGGTAGGCACTGGGATTTGAGCTCAGGTTGCTTGAGTACATACTATTAAAAGCGAGCGCTCACAAACTGAGCTATCACGGCTTACGCTTTTTGCTTGACTTCATTTTATCACGGCTCATGTTCACGTTGATAAATATTTTAAGTAGCAAAAAGTAAATCAATGCACTGACAAAAATTCGTTACAAAAAATTCATTGCTTTCTTTGTTCGCGAACAATTAATACCAGCGTTCGTATAACCTTCATTGGACTTGACACTTGTATAAAGAACTACAAAAAAAAAAAACGATTGCAGCTCTAGATAAGCAAACAGATTTGTGACAATATTGATGGAGCAACTGCGAATACAGTTCAACGTCCCACAGGTCTCCACTTAAAGGGGTGGCGGTGAATGAAAACATTTTAGATTCAACGATAAACTTCATAATTTATGACCGCTATCAGATTGCGAGTGGCGTCCGTCACGGTATTAGACCTTATAAAATGAAGCGTTGGACGCATGCCATCTAGTTACTTACGACGGAAAGCGTTACCGTATTGAATAAGCAACGACAATAGGGACATTTATACACGAAACAATTTTTACTTCCTTTCGCAAAATATGCTTGCCCAGAAAAATATTAACAAACGACGTCTTTTAATATTCTTTTCATTTGAGACATTCATTCTTATTAATACGATGATGTAACAAAGGGCCTAATGTAATTCTTAATAAATAATAAAATACTTTAGTTTCCCCCTTCAATCCCCTACGGCTGAATTAATTTGAATTAAATTTTGAATGGAAATTACTTAAACACAGGATCGGCACATAGAATAACTTTTTGCTATAACATAGGAAAGTACGTCTATATTTTGAGCCACCAAGAGTAACTATATCATCCTTTAGTTTTATAAATATAATGCGATACATTGACTTTTATGTGTTGACCATTTAAAATGACTTTTGTTGCCATCAATAATTTACATAAATAAAACTAAGTATTTGAAATCATAGACAAAAGTCTATTATTTAAAAAAAAAGTTTTAAGAACTTGAACCTTGCGAAAAATTGTCTCTAACGAACTCCGAAAGAGCTTAACGGATTTAAAATAAGAATTTCAAGAAATTAAAGGACATAGGCGCTGACATAAACTAGTTAGTTATATAATTATTCCTTAAAGTAGGTATGCCGTTATCCCTCGTAGGTGAACTAACCGATAAATGTAGGTTAATTTACGGCGTACGAGTGTCATATCAAGCGACAAATCACGCATGCAATGTTTACGAGAATCACCACGGAGCATATTATTTTAGGAACTGTGCACAGCGGTATCACTGCCACGTATGTCAAAGCACGTACAAGAGTACTACAATATAGACACGACCGCAGAGTAAATTGAGACTGGACGATCGGTTCTAATATCATTAAAATCCGTGTAATAAACCTTTACTGTTATGTGATGGTGCAAACCGCAGTTGTTCACCTCATTTCGCCTCATCCCAATAATATTATATACAAATACGAGGAAATTATGACACAAGAGCATCAAAACTGAGGCACTCAAATTGCGCCAATTTGTGTAATTAAATTTCAATTCTATAGACTACTACCTCTTTCTGTACTTTATCTTCATCTTTTTCTTATCACAAGTAGCATTAGAAAAAAAAACACTAAAGATTATGTAATAGCCTAATTGTGTACGTCAAGCTTCATATTAAAATGTAAAATGTATGCATAGTTATGTACAACATCAACATGTTTTCTTTAAATTTACCGGACGTATGGTAAGCCGAGATTTCAATTTAACTATATCTGCTCATTAGTGTAAATGAAACTTCAACTCTGGCGGCTTGAGATAGAAGAACCGAGCCACAGCGTCAAGAATGCTCTTCTTCGTTTCCTTCTTTTTCTTACACTTAGGTGGTGTAGAAACGAAAGGTTTTTTTACGACCGTACCGAATTCAAGAAATCTGTTAGTCACAAAAATACTTATCGCGTGTGGGAATCGAACCCACGACCTCTGGCATCAAAGCCGATTGCTTGGCGTCGAAGGCGATAGTTTGGCAGCTGTGCCACCGAGTTGATAAATTAAAATATATGGTAGTTTTTTGTCGTTCAATAAGAGCTTACAATAAACCTATATCGAATAAAGAAATTTTGACTTTGACTTTGATTTTAATGGTGGTTTGCCGTTGCACGAATGGGCAGGTCCGTCCGGGTTAGTACCACGACCTCATAGAAGACCGGCGTCAAGTAGTAGAAGTTACACTTCTGCGTTTCGTCTGGTGAGTGAGGTAGCCGGGGCGCATTTCATTAAGAAGTGGCAACGCATCTGAAACCCTATGGGTGTTGCAAATGTCCATGGACAGGCTGGTTATCCCTAAACATCAGGTGAACCGTCAGCTCGTTAAATTCTACATAAATGTCGGTACTAACGTTGATGCGGTTCTTGGCTCTCTCGATGGCTTTAGAGTCTTCCCTTTCGGGGCTGAGTCGGCAGACGCGGGCTCGCCAGTCATTCGCGCCGGCCGCCTGCAGTGCTGCCAACCTGTAAATATAAAATAGCTTTATTAATAAACAAACAAACGTGGATAATGGCACTTATCTAGGGAGATCCCCCATATATGTACATGTAAGCTAATACGGTTATAACCTCAAGGGGTGCTTAAAAATAAACTTTTAATAAAAGACGAATAAAAAACTTTTCCATACTGACACCTATGACAGTCGATTCATTTGTGGGTAAAGTTCCACTTGGAGGATTACAATTGATCCAATCAATTATTGGGAATTAATACGTTTATATTTTGCTCACTTATAAGTATTCGTCGATAATTCTGTACCACCAAATAAATACTATTTAAAGGAAATAGTTAATTCTTTTTTGTATACTCACAGTGATAATAAAATAATTTAAAAGTATTTTCATTATGTATATAAAATTAGAGCCTACATCAATTAAAGATTATATCTACATTTTAAAATAAACATATTCTTATTAATGTATTGCAAATTTCCATGGGCAATGGTTATCACTTAACATCAGGTGAACCGCAAGCTCGTCCGTCATAAAGTTATTAACCCTAATAAACAACGCATTTAAAATAATAGTCCATCGGACATCTCCCAAATAATTCCCAAAATATTATACGTTTACGTGAACATAAACGCGTTATAGTCAATGTTTAAACATCATCAAACACGAGTGACGTGTAATCAGCACAGAGGCCGTTAATGGTGTTTGTCTCTCATACAATAAATCAACGTTGGTTATGTGCAGATGCCGATCCGTGATACTACTTCATATTCCATACGGTATTAGCAATAATTCGTAATACTATTTGTAAAGATGGATGAATGAAGAGGAAAAGAAGTACAGCGCAACTAGATTGGTTATAACGACTCGATTACATATATGTATATACATATCACATAGCAAAATATAATAAGCGATATTCCGTTAAAACTGATAAAATACGAAAACTATTTATTTTAACGTTAAATAGTAAGTTTTAGTTTAACGTTAATAGTTAGTTTAAATATAGCTTTTAAGCTATTTATTTTAACAATAAACATTATGGATATAGGAACCATAAAATATAACAGTTTTAAGAATAGCGTCAACAACCACATGAAAATATAATATTAGTACTTGAAGGTTTGTTTGAAATTTTATCAAAACATGCTTACACATCAAGCAGTATTAAGAGCATTAAATATATCAAATATTAACATACTTGTAACATACGAACTTTAATTGCCAAGCAAATGTTTGTTTAGAGCCATGTTCAACAGTCAATTTAACGTTTTGTTCTAATTACGGTTAATTGTTGCCGATAGCGATTAAAAACAAATGTAATTCTATATATTTAAAATTGGGACCACCCGCAGTTTAAAATAATATGAGTCGTGTAGCAATGTCAGAGGAGCAAGTTGAGCACTTGTTATAAAAAGCGTTAAGGGCGGTATGATCGATGCATTGCATCCCTACTTGAAGTGAGTTTGAAGCTTTCTTGTATGATTAATTTGAGACACTCGAGTGATTTGTGTTGTCCGATAATATCGATACGAAATAGGGCGGCCAGAGCGCTCTCAGGGTCAACGACCATCTGCGTTATTTTATCACTACTCTCAAGCCGGGCGCACTCCGCGATCCAAAAGGAAGTACAGATTAAAACAATTACGAACCAACACCGCCATAGCTGGGATATTCCATACATTTTCCTGCTTTATACCGCAATATGCTGTTGGGCTACAGCGCAATTAAAGCGAAGGCAGAGCTGACGACACACTAAACTCTCGTGCGGGTTATTTAAGGGTTTGTAAACTCGAATTCTTTATACAAAGCGTTATTATGATATAAATGAATACATAAATGATAATAACTCCTGGGAATGATTTCATTGCTCCCAAGCTATATCTAAAGGAAACAAAAAATATGTTTATTATTTTAATGTATTGTTAAATTACAAAAAGGGGATACCTACAGTTTCTTTGCAGAACGAAAGCCGGAACAAACAAACAGACAGATAGATAAAAATTGTAACATCAATATGCATTTGGTAAATTTAAGTAATTATTTTAATATTACAAACAACACTTTAATTTTATTTATCTGGATGGATGTAGATAAAATGAATGATAATCAAATGATTATTATATCAAAGGAAATATTTATTTAGAAGAAATATATAAGAATAGTCGGAATGTAATTATTGACAATAAAGTCAGTGGACAGTTAGGGTAACAGGTATATGGTTGCACTAAGCTACCAAGCAAACCTGCCCAAAACGAGACATGAAAAAATTTACCTATCTTAATCGCAGCCTAAAACCAGAACCATTCCGATCTTAAAAGGTACCATATCTATTATTTCAGGATGCATTTGCCACGGTCATAAGAGTACTAATTAAAACTATACGAAACATTATAAACGAATTTGTGAGCGCCTGTTGTCGTGTATTTATGAGAATAAACTTTCTGAGTAAACTTGGTGTGACATCAACTTTATAAGTTAGCGTTCGAACTAACATCCTCACTAGCGGCAGAAATAATATCGTCGTAAAGTTGCATGTTAAAAAGTTTAGTTGAAAATAATCCAACAATTCCTTAAGTTCAATAGAATCACATCAAGGAATGGTATGAAATCATTTCTGGGTACATTTAAAAGTTCTAAGAATTGAATAATAATTGTTTAAATGAATTCCAATACTCAACTTAGAAGAAGACTTAGCCAGGTAAAATAATATGAACAATATCAAATACAATCGCACCGACGCTGCCTCGATTCTTAGAAACAGCTTTCAATCCTTTTTGTTATCTAGACTAATTACCACGGTTTTAGTAGTTACTAAGGTGTAAACTCTTCTTCTTTTTAAAAGAGTATTCACGCAATCTCATTAATGCCAATGTTAGCCGTTTTTAAAGGTTTATGGACATTACAGAAAAATATTACAGATACCGAATAAGAAAATAACTGTTCCAAATCACCATTCTCAAAAACGTCAATTAGGAATTAGCGCGCATTAAATAACTCCTTATACGAAATTTAGTCTTATTAATATTACATTACTTGAAAAGTAAACTAATTTAATATCAGCAAAATGGTTTTAAGTCATTGAATCTTCGTTATACTGTCTTATATACTTCAATGTATTGATAACAAATAACTACCACAAACCACAAGTGCGCCAATATGATCTTAAAATAAAACGATTATCAAATGTCATCAAAGGGATTTAAAGGGACTTACGTGAAGCAATAACTGTTTAAGAACCTTAAATAGAGTGAACGGCAGATGTATTGTTAGCCATTACAAACGACTGGCTTTATATATATGTTTTAGAAAACAAATTTAATAAAAATACTACAATTAAACAAACTGTCAATTGCGTGGGGTCTGTATACAAGCGTTGCTAAATAAATCATCAAGCACCGGTTGTAGAAGGCGTATAAAGACATAAATGTACGATTCACGACCGACCTTTCGGCGATGGTGCCCCCTCGGTGTGGCATTTCAGCATGCGTGGCGCTCCTCTGGACTCCGCCACCCACCCTGTAAACAAGAGAACTCTATCAGCGATCTATCCATCCATCGAGGCTTATGGTGGTTCACATAAGCCTCTGTGAACCACCACAGCGAGGTTCACTTATAAGCAACGGACCCATTGAGTGTGCTGGCTTAATCATAAACAGCAATCGCCGACATGGTGTTTGCTTAAAGTTTCTATGTCCTCTCACAATGCGCATGTGTCGAGCAGGACTGGTGGGCTCATGTTGATAAACGCTGTTGGAATAAAAGCAGTTTTCAAGCTTATATAGGACTTTTATGTGCCCGATTAAAATGTGGTAAGATAATGTATATTTGAGGCACGATTACAGAGACACATTTTGTCGTTTATTAATTATTCAAATTTGGATTGAAAATATATTAAATAGTTGACATTTATTAATTTATATGCGAAAAGACAGAAATACCAATGGAAGAATATTTAAACGTCATTTACAATATTCCTGCTAAAATACTAATGTATTGTGAAATTAAAGGGGAATTGCTGTTTATTACATGTAAATTTATTAGATGTTGGTCTTATATTTAACATTTTGGCGAATCCTAAAAGTGAAACAATAAAACGTATTTGCGGCCTTGTTCAAGTCAACAAACAGTAACTCCTGTTTTATTCAAAGCTATGACTTTAACGTTTATTTATTTTTTATTTTGACTTTTATAAGTTCATTGTAAGTAAGGGTTGGCGTATCTTTGTAGATAAAAACCCCATTAAACTAAAAGATAGTAAAAAAAAATGTTCCCGGTAAACCATTACCTCGTTTTCTCAAATTTCTCTTTAATAGATTTGAAGTTGAACAGCCTATCCTCCATGGATCTTACGGACAGCATTTTCGTTTGATTCTTCTAACTGTGCACAAGGAATTTCATATGCGACACTCGACACGGTAGCGTTGTCGTCTCGCGCACTTCAATTTCTAACAATTAGCGTCGACATGGCACAATTTGGAACTTCACCGCAAATAATCTAAACGTAATGGCAAATAGTTTATGCGCGACGCGCGACCGTCCACTGACAGCTGACAATGACAGTGTCATCGGTTCGAATCCGGTCGCGTTCGTTCGATAGCTAAACTTCGACTGTTTGTATTCAAATGGCGATGTGACGTCGCACCGCGCGCTCCTCGGCGCATCCTTGCGGTGGGTCATTAATACACTAGAGCGTTATCTTTACAGAGGATTGTGTTATACAACCAGTGTTCCGAATGCAACCGATAGATAAAGCGACGAACGAACTTTTGTTGACCTACAAAGTTTAAAGAATGCACGCGATAAGCGCGCATTGTTCTTTTGTCAATGGCTTCCTGGTATTTCAATTAAAAATTGATACGAATGTTCTTCATCGAATGTTAAAAAAAATTAACGAGTTTCTATTCCGAGAAGTGAGCGACAAAGTAATAATAACCAATAACAGTTCGTTGGAAATTTGGATTTATATCCAGAAAAAAATAAATCATAAGCCCTATCAAAACCTAAATGTTATTAATTACGCGATGCATAAGTATTACGTTTAGAATAAAGTCGTTTGCTTGATTATATAACTTTATTTCCCCTTTCAACGTATTTGTAAGAAAAACATGTAACTTAACATATCGATTTTCTTAATTTTACACGATTATACTTACATTTAATTGAAGCTACTTTACGAATTTTATCACGTTTTAATTTTGAATATTATTTGATTTTTATTTAATTCTTGACCCTTCGAGCCCTTTTCAGCGTTCATGGTCACGGGACAGACTATAGCGAAACTTCGGTAAAAATAGATAAAAATAGTTTAATTTAATATTAACAATATTGTTTAGGTATATACAATACTTCGATATTATCATCGGTGTAATATCGAATAATCTAAACGACGTAAAATACTTCCGAACGAGTGACGACACAAGCTAATTTACGTAGATTTCGAAAGTTCAAACGGCGCCCGCTGCGAGCAACCCATACGAGCCGAGCGGGCGATAAAAACGACAGTTAGTTCACCTAATTACTGGGCGGCGGGCGGGCGAAAGAAATGCTTCCGTCTGATAACAGGGCCTAACTGAACACGGACGAATGTTTGACCAAATATGGGATAATGGACGCCGTGTGGGCCCCATAGTTAAGATAAAAAATTTTAAAAATAAATATCACCAAAATGTTTGCAAAATGAAGCGATTCATTGTCGCCCGTTTGTTTGTCACCGAATGAATGAGATGGGGTTGATGTTGCTTTCGCCGTACATATCAGATATAACGCATAATTGCAAAACTTTTGCGATTCGTCTGATCTTTTTCAGTCGTCTTCTGTAGTCTTCTGTCGGTTCGTGGTGCTTTACTGGACTAGCCTGCCCATTTATGCAGAAATAAATGAATTTATTTAAAGGATCAAATTTCCCTGGGAATAAAAGAGACATAACAAGAAACTAGTGACAGATGTACTTATAAGTATGGCTGATTTTTGCCCAGTACCGTGATCAGTAAGTGAATGGTAAAATAAAAAACATGCGGGGTAGTCTATAGGGACTACTACTAGGAATAACAATAATTAATACATTTATAAATATCTTCATTCTTATGTTAAAATCATTGTTAATAATTATTTTTAAGTTTAAAATAATTTATATATATATATATATATACATATATATAATAATTAAAATAAATAAAAATGGTGACGATGACGCAAGTTCCATTATTTTTGTTCACCTAAAAAGTGCTCAACGCGCCTAAAAAAGTTTTCACGTCAATAATGTACCAATAAATATTAATAATGAAAGGTCTTATTTTAAGGAATAACGGGAAAATTCATTCTACTATGCTCTTACACCTTTAATTTAAACAAACTGTCATTAGATGGCAACATCATACATTGAACGACAGTTTTTTTAGGGAAACGTTAAAATTAATCGGTTTTTCATTAGCGGTAAACGTAAACGTAAACGTTATACGTTACGGTAAAGGTAACTTAATAAAGTTGTCTGAATTATTAAATTTAATGAAGCATTTTTGGAAATTATGGCGTTCGGACGTAAAACACCTTTGAGAAATAATATACAGAGGTGTTACAAAGAATTTAATAAGCTAGTGAACTAGTGGTTAAGAGCAGAACTATGATTAAAAATAGCAAATAATAATTTCTAGACTAGAATATTCCTATTTTATGCCTGCTTGACGAAACTTTATCGTTATTGACGCACCCAGCCTATTCGTTTAATAGTAGCACTGAATGCGTTTGACGTTTGTTCACAATTTATGGTTCACTTGATCGCGGGAGGACGAAATGAGTGGGGGAAGTCCGAAGTTTTGACCGACGGAGGAAAATATTTATCAAGTAAAAGAGTATGGATTACAAATATATAACAAGTGATACCTACTGCAATGATTCTTAAGACTGTGTTAGGACTAAAAAATATATACGAAATGTTTCAAAACATTACTACTTTATTTTATACTACTTTACGCACTTATTGATTACACCAAAAGGGCTCTATTGCTCTACCATTGTTCACAAAACTAAATTGAATATGAGAGAGATACAATAACACGTAATCTTTCAACCTGTTATCATAATCAAAGTATGGAACTTTTAGAAAATTTATTCACTTCAGCACCAGTGAGGATCCAACAAGAAATCTGCATTATGTTTCACAATAATAAATGTATATTCGTCGAAATTATTAAAAGCAGATGTTAAACACTACATATTATATACATCTAAAAATAAATGACATTTGTGGTTAACAATAAATCTACCTTTTCCGTTTGGAAGCAAACCGCGCTTAGAGAAGACTCGACTAGGCTTCAGTGCGAGCGCGCCCTACAGGCTGCGAGGTGCGACTGCTGGGCGGGCGGCGCTTTTGGAACGGCGCACATCGAGCTACTATTTGTTCTCGATTCTCAGACGGCAGAAGCACGAACTTATTCCAGATCTTTTAAAGAGCTATTAGCCTTAATTGAGAAACAATGGACATGTCGATTTTGTATTGTATAATCCTCACTGATATTGTAAACGCGAAAATTTGTATGTATGGATGTAAAAGTAACTCTGTCTGTCTGTTAAGCCTTCACGACTAAGCAGCAAAACCAATTTTGAGGAATTTTGGTACAAAAATAGATAGACCTTGGGGAAGAAAAAAGCAACTCTAACTAATCCTGCGCAGGCAAAGTCGCGGGTACCAGCTAGTCTTCAATATAAATAAGTTTTCCCTTCTCATCAAAAAGGGAATAAAAATGTTGGGTATTAAAAAAGTCAGAGGGAAGTTTAGCACATGAGTTGATTTCAAATAATAATTTTACCAAGAGAAACCAAAATACACAAATACTTATGACATACGCCAAAGTATAAAAACGACAGAAATTCGCTGCAATATGTTAATCCAGCATGCTAAACGAACTCGTGGAATGAAATTAGTTTCGCAAATAGAAACCATGAAAACTTAAATGTAAGGCCAGTGACATTGACCTTTCAACGATATACGATGGTAAGGGACAAAAACTGCAAGGCTTCGGACAAAAGCCCGCAGCGCCGCGCGAGTGCTTTATTGGGTTTGTTGTTAGCGTTGTTGTGTACGCAATTAATACCTACCAATTTGTGATACATTTGAATGGCGGCTATGAAAAAAGACAGAACAGAACTATTTACATTTAAAAGATTGTGTTGCGTTCCAATAAGTCTCCCGCCTAAACATGGTCATGAAAACGGTACCTGATGATGGTGATGATGAAACAAATGTACCGGCAAGCGATACAGAAAAATTAGCTTTGCTACAAATAAAATGTCCGGGTTTGGAAATATCTAAAAACTTGGAAGCGTTGTGGCGTGCAATTACTCGTAATTTAATATTCTTATACCAATGTCACATGTCACATTGATGATCTTGTTTCTTTAAAACAAGATCATCAATGTGACATGTGAAAACAGTTAAAAATTATGATTAAAATAATTAAATTATTGGGCATTTAAAAATATATATATATATTGACTGTAATGTTAAATTGATCATAACACTAGGTGTTATAGCTTAATACCATAGAGTGCTAATAATTATAATTTGTTTTGATCTCTTCTTTGTGGTCAAATTGAAACAATATGGCGAAATGTGTAAAACGTTGAGAAGCAATAGTGTTATAAAAGTGTGCACCGTAGTAGAGATCACTGCGTTTGTATTTAACTCTGCGCTATCAAACCTCAACTACCATCGAGTACAGTTTATCCTTCGAAGATATAGAAAAAAGTTTTTAAGGTTTTATTCAATTGTGGCCAATAATGCTCAATCGCACGTTTTTTAGCATTGGAATCGATTCGACTACATCATTAATATTTTACGCCTACTTTTATGATACTGTGACTACTTCAATGACATTAAATAGATCGCAAGACATTAAAAAATAGATAAAAATAAGAGGTTAGCTACCCCTGGAGTTTAGAAATTAGATTGAATGGAACTGTGATACTACTGATAATGAACTGTGATAATACGAAACTCCGAAAAAAATATAAAGAGACCGTTTCGAGGTAAAAAGCGTTACTGTAACAGCTTGTCTTCATTAACACACTTTCCAAAATGGCGGCTCACGAGGCCTCCGGTACCGGAGCACCAACTGCGGAACTTTACGCCCGTCTTGTACGCTCAGACACCATTGTGTGTAAACAAAAGGAAACCGCCGCGTCGCGTCGCTCATTAAAACACAACACCGCCTAAAACACCGAGACGCCAGCTTTTGCACAAAGCAAGGGGAAACTTATCAGCCGTAAGGACACTCGGAACATTCTCCCACCTATTGCGAAGGGAACAAAGACAGTTTTCGCTTGCTCGCACACCGAAAACATACAAGAGCGGTGCACTGCGA